GCACCCCCACTACCTCCGCTACCTCCGCCTCCACCTCCACCAGAACCACCTTTCTTGCCCCCCTTGCCGCGGGACCGCGACGCAGTCGTAACAGCAGCTGCAGTCGCGTCAGTAGCGGCAGTGGCAAGAGAGGCAGTGAAGGTGGGTAACTGCGGGACTGTGCACCCGTGGAAGAGTGGGGGGGGCACAGCACCAGAGGCGGCAGCTACCGAGCGAAGGTTGCTCTCGACGTCCTTGAGCGCAGACTCAAGGACCTCAACTGTCAGCTCACTAGGGTGCTTCAGCAGGAGCGCGTCACGTACGGAGGCAAGGCGGTCAGGGAGGCTAGTGGCGATGAAATAGATAGTAATCGCCATGGGGGGAGGAAGCAGTGCAAGCTGTGCCTCAGTGCAAGCAGCGCGGTAACTAGCGTCGAGCGAGCGGAGGTGAGCGATCAAGTCAGCAGAGCGCTCAAACGAGGCGAGATCAGGAAACAGGAACGGGAGGAAAAGACGGCCAAGAGAGACAGTAGCGGGAGTAGAGTAGCGGGCCTTAATCGCAGTGAGGTACGCAGCAGCGGTGCGAACCTGAGTGAAGTGGACCTCCTCTGACTCAGGGAGGAGGCTGCTGAGTGCGATGCAGGCCGCAGCGTCACGCGACGTCCAAGCCGTCCTGTCAGCGCGCTGACGGGCAAAGCGAGCCGTAGCAGCATCGTCAGGGGCAGGACCTAAAGCGGCAGGCTCGGGGGGCTCGGGGAGGTCACCAGTAGCGTGCGACCAGAGGGTCTCGCCCCCCTGGACTTGACTCTCTAACAGACGGCGAGCGCGAAGGAGCCAGACGGAAAAGTCAAGAGGTCTGCCGTCAGCGTCGAAACGAAGAACTCGCGGAGTCGCCATAGCGAAAACTAACGCGAACGAGCAGGCGAGTAACAGCAGGAGGTAAGAGGCAAATTAGGGTTCAGGTGGGACTTAGTCGCAGCGGAAGAGCGGGCTAGAGCGACGGGCCAGGGCGTAGGGTCGACGGGACGGGGGAAAGGGCGGGCACGATGCGACGGGGCAGGGCGACGCGACGGGGGAGGGCGACGCGACGGGGTAGGGAGACGGGACGGGGCGGCGGGACGGGGCAGGGCGACGGGACGGGACGGGGACGGGACGGGGCAGGGGCGACGGGACGGGACGGGGCGATGGGACGGGACGGGGCAGGGCCGCGGGACGGGACGGGACGGGGACGGGACGGGGCAGGGGCGACGGGACGGGACGGGGACGGGACGGGGCAGGGGCGACGGGACGGGACGGGGCGACGGGACGGGACGAGGCAGGGCGACGGGACGGGGCAGGGGCAACGGGACGGGGCAGGGAGACGTGACCGGGGGAAAGGGCGCGACGCGACGGTGGGAAAGGGCGCGACGCGACGGGGGGAAAGAGCGCGACGCGACGGGGGGAAAGGGCGCGACTCGACGGGGGGGAACGGGCGCGACGCAACGGGGGAAAAGGGCGCGACGTGACGGGGGGGAAAGGGCGCTAGGCGACGGGGGGAAGGGCGCTAGGCTCGGCACTAGGCGCGGTAACAACGGAACCGGTACGAACGAGAGGTAGGATCAGGCTCGGGAGATACGAACGGAGAACGGAGGAACGGGATCCCACAGGATCCTAACCTAACTGATACCATGTCAGAATGAGGAATGGATGATGCATTGATGTTGGTTGGGGTACATATAGCTAACCCTAAGTTTTGTACCCCCTAAGACAAACCTCACTATAGGCTACAACATTTGACACCAGCCATTAACCACTGGGATAAAAGGGCTTATTTGTGTAGCGGGTGAGTGCGCCCATAACCCCCCAGGCCAACATGCCTGTAACCCTTCCCTAGGATCATCGGGGATCTCCAGTGGACCTCTGACACCCCCCCGCACTGGGATGCCCGAGGTGCACACACCGGGATTCGAACCCGAGACCTTCGCTCTGATACCATGTCAGAATCCCAGCCACTAACCACTGGGATAAAAGGGCTTATTTGTGTAGCGGGTGAGTGCGCCCATAACCCCCCAGGCCAACATGCCTGTAACCCTTCCCTAGGATCATCGGGGATCTCCAGTGGACCTCTGACAGTACTCGCTAAAATGCGCGTACAGTAAGGAATTGTAATTCCTTACATATTTACAGTACCAGTACCTGCATCATCCAAGTGAGGGCATGCAATGGAATTTACCCGCTGAAATCTTTACACTTGTAGGAAAAAAATCAGAATCATTTAGAGCCATACAAAGGGTTACAATTTACAGTACGTGCAAGTACCAGTAGAAAGACACCGCTGCTGGCAGAACCTGATTCCTGAATCCCCGGAACATCATCGAGTTGCGTTAATCGTTTAGTGGAAGTCAAAGAGTTAGCACTATCCTACAATATCAGAGATCTTCTGAGTCTTCCTTTGACCATAGGAAGAAGCCTCTCGCGACTTGCAGCTGCGGCCTCTAAGACGCTCCACCGGCAGGCACTGCTGCTGGGAAGAGAACACGGTGGGAAGGAGCTGAAGCTGCTGCTGCTGCTGACGATGATGATGAAGCTGATGCTGATGTTGGTGCTGTTGCTGCTGGCAGCATCACCACATCTTCTGCTTCCCTGACACGTGCTCTGTTCCTTTCCTCCGCCTCTCTCAGCTCCTCTCCAGCTGCTGCAGCAGCAGAAACAGGGGCTGACGCAGCAGCATCAGCAGCAGCAGGTGATGCAAAGAGCACGGCGGTCACTTGATGAATTTCCTCCATGCACATGGCTGGGTTATGCAGCCGGGAGGAAGGGCCGGGGCGTGGAGGAAGAAGAGGAGGCTCGGGTAAAGTGTGCAACTGAAGCTCCTCCTCCTCTTCCTCTTCCTCCTCCTGTTGCTCCTGCCCCTCCTGCTCCTCCTCCTCCTCCTCCTCCTCCCCCTCCTCCTCCTCCTCCTCCTCCTGCTGCCCCTCCTGCAGCTGCTCCTGTTCCTGTTCCTGCTTGCACTCCTCATGGTGCTGCTGCTGCTGCCCTGATATCTGCTTTGGGTCACAACAAGCCTGCTGCTCTTGCTGCTTCCCGTGCAGTTTAACAGAACCGGACTGAACCCCTGCTCCAGTCCTCATTACCGCTCCTTCCTGATAATCCCTCTCCAACCATCCCTCCTCATTCATACCGACCGCCATATCACACTCTTTACCCTCTTTATCCACTATTCGTTCGCGTCTCAAGTCTTCCATAGGGGCCAGCGCCCCCCTATTATTTCTGCCTCCCCTGTTAATCCCTTCCTCTAAATTAGTCCCCAACTCCCTGTTTCTCCAGTCTCCCCCGTTAATTCCCTCAATCAGCCTCCTCTCACCATCCCTCTCCGCAGACGTATTGTGTTTGCCGCCAAAAATACAGCTACCGCTGTCGCTGCTGCTGCTGTTGCTGCTGCTGGAACCGTTGCTACTCGTGGTACTAACGCCAGTGCTGCTGCTACCACTGCTGTTCCAGCTGCTGATACTTTTATCCAACCCTGAAGGAAACCCCACATATGGGGGATATGGGGCGCTATGGCACGCGAGTTCTGTAGCGAGCGAATCGGAATCCAGTTTGGTATGTGGAATCATGCCCTGTGTGCATGCGTCTGTAGGCGCGTTCGACGCAAGAATGTGTGAGCCAGATTGAGGCGGTTTCGCAGCAGCGGCAGCAGAAGAAGCGGCAGCAGACGTAGCGGCAGCAGAAGTAGCAACAGCAGCAGTAGCAGCAGAAGTAAGAAACGGAGGAGGCGGGGAAGGAGGAGAAGAAGGAGCAGCAGCAGCAGTAGCAGCAGCAGCAGTAGCAGCAGCAGCAGCAGCAGCGGCGGCAGCGGCAACAGCGGCAGCGACAGCAGGAGGCACGAGAATGGGGTTGCTAGTTGCTCGAGCCAGGTTGAAGCTATGGGGACTCTCCCGACCCTCCACCACCCTGCATGCACCATCACCCGAGAAACACAACAAAAAGAAGATTGCGTTTTGAGACGTCTCAAGGCGCGTAAATGGGGTTGCTTGTTGTTCGAGAAAGGTTGAAGCTGTGAGGACTCTCCCGACCCTCCACAACCCTGCATGTACCATCACCCAGCAGCAAAAGGGGGAGAGAGAGAGAAGATTGAGGGTTGAGACATCACAAAATCTCTCAACCTTCCACCGCCACTCCGCACGAACAATCAGCCAGTAGCAAGCGGGAGAAGATCCGAAAGGGTGAGACGATTACAATAGCAAGAGACATACAACACCTTCCCACCCAGGTGCGAGCAAAAATTGGCAGCAACCCTCCGTCCCTCCCTCCCCTTGTTACCCTCCCTCATCTCTTCTCTTCACCCCGCCCCTCACCTCAATCCCCCCCATCCCTCCAACCCTTAGGGCGCGTGCGTTCCGTCAAATTTGACAAAGTTCATGTTTTGGGGGCGAATATTTTTTTTGAACTTAAGTCAAACGGAATTCGACTTTCCTTGTAGCGAAGTTCGAAAATTGCGGGAATAACACTGCAAAGATGCAATCACACACGCAAGGTCGAACATCAAAATTCGAACCTTTATGTTACCCAGTACATGCTCGCCAAGTCAACATAATGCCACTTTTTGTTTCGCGATGCAGTCGTCAATGTCGCATAGTGTTCGTACGTGCCGAAAACACACACACTCATATGAACGTGCGCACGCACGTTCACAACGCCAACTCGAGTCAAGTTCACTTTTGAAGCTCGAACTTCTATAAGCCCTAAAATTCGCGATGTTCGTTAGACGCTCTTGACGAAATTTACGAATAGGGTAACCAGCCAAAGTTCGAACTTATTTTCGAACTTGGGAACAGAACGCACGCGCCCTTACTCCTCCCTTCACCCCCCTCACCTCAGCACCCTCGCTCCCCCTAGTGTGCGGTGCCTCCCCCCGCCCCCCCTTCTCCAGCGTAGCCCCCGGGAGTGGTGGTTGATCCTGCTGCCCACTCACCCACCCACCCCCTCCCCCCCCCCGCTCACCCCAGCGCCCTCCCTTCCCCAAATCCCCCCCAGCCCCCCTCACCTCAGCGCCCTTGCTCCCCCCAATGTGCGGTGCCTCCCCCCGCCCCCCCTTCTCCAGCGTAGCCCCCGGGAGTGGTGGTTGTTCCTGCTGCCGCCCCTCCTGTCCACGTCCGGCGTGGTAAAGTCAAAGTGGATGGCACGCGCTGTCAGCACCTGGGGGACGATTTGGGGGGGAGGGGGGAGGGGGTAGGGGAAGGGGGGAGGGCGATTTGGGGAGCGGGGTTTTATTAGGCGCCTGGAAAATCGTACGGCATGGCAAAACAAAAGTGAATGACACGCGCTGTCAGAACCTGGGGGGCGATATGGGTGAGCACGGGAGAGAGGGGAGGAGAGGAGGAATGGAAGAAAGATGGGGTTGGAAGAGGGGGGAGTGGAAGAGAGGAAACGTGAGAAAAGCGTGGAACAGGCAAGGCAAGGGAGCGTGTATGCAGAACCAATGAGGTGTGACGAATATAAGTATACCAACGAAGTGTGACAACGCGAGCTAACAATGCACCGACACAAATGAGCACTTGCTAGCGGCAAAACCTGCAGACTTGCTAATTCCAGATGCACTGCCCCTACCGCATCGCTGACAGCTTTGGAGGTGAGGAGTAGAGAGGAGAGCTCGTGGTGCCGGAGACAACAGACAATCCGCACCTGAGGGGGGGGAAGGGGGGAGAAGGCGGAGGGAGGGCGTGTGGGGGGGAGGGAGGGCGGAGTTTTTGAGATATCTCAAAACAAGAGGTGAGGGGGAGGGAGGGCGGAGAGAGGGCGGAGGGAGGGCGGAGGGAGGGCGGAGAGAGGGCGGAGAGAGGGCGGAGAGAGGGCGGAGAGAGGGCGGAGAGAGGGCGGACGGAGGGAGGGAGAAGGGAGGGTGGAGGAGGAAAGGATAAAAGAAAATATAATCGTTTTACTTCATGGCATGACTCACAAACCACATTCACCCCTCTGCTCCATTCTCTCTCCCCTTGTATTCGTTCCCTTAAGCAAGCACCATGCCCCACTGTCCGCCCGCCCAACCGCCCCCTACGCCCCAAGCTTCCATGCCCCCATGCCTTATACGGAAGAGCCTCAAGCACTTACCACGACCTCTTGGGGCAAGTCTAGCAGCCCCAGTCCTTCCGCTCTCTCCCCCGTTCCCCCTACGCTCAAGCTCCGCATTTCCGCCTCTGCTGCTTCCCTCTCCCCCTCCCAGTCCGCCTCCGCCTTCCCGCATCCGCTCTCCTTCCGAGTTCCCCCAAATTGCGCGCCCTGCCCTTGCTCCTGCGCCTGCGCCTGCGCCACGCCTGTTCTACGCCCAAATAGGCTCCGCGGATTGCGCTGAAAGCGCAGGCGCGGAACGGCAGGGGGAGTGCGCGGCTCCGGGGAGGAAAAAGGCCCCGCAGACAGTGGGGGCAACCCTGCGGTTACCCGCGGAACGCTCGCGGGGAGAGTGGGAAGACTTGCGGGAAGGGGCGGAATGGCGGAGGGCGCGCGGGGAGCGGAGTGAGTGTGGGGCATGGCGGGCGACGGGAGGAGCGCGGGGGAGGGGGAGAGGGTTAACGACGGGGAGGGCGGGGCAACAGGAGATCTGAAACAGGGCGAGGCTGTGACATAGTTCGCTGGAATCATGGGGCTATTAGAACGGTTTTCGGCAGAGGCAGTTATAAGATTGCCAGCAGCGTTGCCTATAGGACTAGGCGGGCCGCTCATTCCCCCGTCTCCCCCGTCAATGAACGCTTCATCGGCCATTTCTCCGCCAGCTTTCGCCTCGACGCGTGATCCCTCCCGCTGCTGCCATTGCTCAGATTGCGGCGCTTCCATCGGCGTCATCTGCGCTAGCGAATCCTTTTGCTGCGCCTCTTCCGTCAACTGCGTGTCGTCCCACCGTATTGCACCCACTTGCCTAGTTGTATCTTCTCTTTCCGCTTCGCCGTTCCAGACCCCAAGAGCCCTACTCTCCTCCCTATCCTCTCTCGCCCCCCCCTCCTCTCTTCCCCCCGTCGCCTCTCTTTCCCCCCTCTCCTCCACCTGCTCGTCTGTCGCAGCGCTCACGGTGACATGCGTCGCCGGAGTCGCATACGTCGCCCGCGCTGTCGTCTGGGTCGTCGCACAGAATCGCAAGCAGGGAGGAGCGGCGTAGAGCTTTCGTCGGTGCCTGTTCACGGGGCAGGACGCGAACGGCCCGCTAAACACGGCGGGAGGGGCGCGCATCAAGGATAGATCCACCGCACCCGCTGTTGCTAGCGGTGGCGCTGCTGGTGGCGCTTCTGCTGCTGCTGGAACGACTGCCGCCGTTGCCGCTGCTGCTGCTGATGCTGCTGCAGGATCAACCTCCGTTACAGCTTCGGTTACAACAGGAACATTCGTTACTACGACAGAATCCGCTAAAACAGACGTTAGTCCGGTAGTGCTCGCGCGCGGAGCAGGCCAGGCTGATTGCGCAACGTGCCAGGTGGAGAGCGGAACACCCGCGCTTGTTCCCCGTGACCTCAGGTTCCCCGCCAACCGGGGAATAGGGGCGGAACGCGCAAGGGTGAGCGAAGCTAGGGGAGCCCCGGAGGGCGCACCCCTCCGCGGAGCTGGGGATGCGGGGCGGTTGGGGGAGAGCGGAGAGAGCGTGCGCGCGGAGCTGTAGCGGGCGCGCTTCGTCGCGAGGGCTTTACTCTCAAGCTTGTGCTTGATTGCGCCCGGGCGCACGAATCGTGGCGCGGCGGGGGCCGGCCGGCAGCTTGTGCTGCCGTTGCACGCCGTGCGATGGTGGTGCGGCCGACGTCGCCGCCGCTCCTCCTGCTGCTGCTGTTGCTGCTGCTGCCGCTGCTGCTGCTGCTGCTGTTGCTGCCGCCCCTCCTCCTCCACCACCATACGCTCTTGCCGCCTTCGCATATCTACTTGTGCCAGCATCGAATTGTCGCCACCTCTCTCCACGTCCATTCCTAGATCCTGCGACCATGGCTGCTCACGCTGTCGGTCAGGCGCACTTGCACGCGCAGCAGATACCCCTTCTCCTTCTACTGCTGCTTCCTCTTGCTGCCGCGAGTCGGCTCCACGTAAGGACTCCACTTCCCCCTCCTTTCCCCCGTTCTCTTTCGTTTCCGCATTCTCCTCCCGTTCCTCCTCCTGCTCCTTCGCTTCCACAACGGGATCCGTTCCCTCACTAGGTGGCATAAACACCGCTTCGTTAGCGCCAGAGGCTTGAGAACGAGGAGTCGCAATGCGCTCTTTTCGGGAAACGGATATGGTCGCTGGGGGAAAACGTAAGTGGTCCGTTGCAGAAACTCCTGTTACTGCTGCGGCTGCGGCTGATTGCTCTGATGGTGCTGCGGGTGCTGTTGACACGATTGATGACAATGGCGATAAGACCGGTTCTTTCCGCGATGGAGCAGTCAGCAAAAGTGCTATGCCGCTATTACTACCCGCGTGCGCGTTCGACAGAGTGAACGGACGGTCCAGATTGTCCATGGCGACGGGACTGACGAAACAGATACAAAATGGACACGTGGAATGGATCCTCGGGTATCCAAAAAAAGACAGACCGTGTCGTTCCTACGAAGAGTTCTGAGATGCCTCAAAACTCGTGCGGCGCTGTCAGTGCACGCATCGCGATGCGCCGCGAGGAGGAGAGGGATAGTCTCAGGTTCCTGAAACTCTGAATGCATTCAACAAGCCGAGTGCGAACTGCATCGCGAAACGAGACAACGTATTACTCATGTGCCCACACAGATCTCGTAACCCCGAGCCTGCTTTTGTGAGGCTGACGCTTCTGTCTGGAATTACTGGGGTTAGCTTGAAGCTTGCTTTCATCGGCAAACGCGACTGCAGGAAATCATGCAGCTGAGCAGGGAGATGCAATCGTGATAGGGATGGGGAGTTCCGCCTCGCATACGGTGTTGTTGTGGGTTCAGGGGGAAGGTCAGGCGCACGTAAAGCGGCACCTCCCCGCCCCGCGGTGTTGTGGTTGCGGACTGGGAAATGTGCGCCTGTTGTGTGGTGGTGCGCGAACGGAGGTGGTGTGGGTTGGCGCACGTAAAGCGGCACCTCCCCGCCTCGCGGTTGTGTGGTTGCGGGCTCGAGAGTCGGGGCGGGACAGGCAATGGACGCATGCTGTTTGGTGATGTGCGTGAATGGGGAAGGTGGAGCTTTGATGGTGGCGCAGCGGAGCGGTGGGTCTTTCTTGCTGGATGGGGGAACTTGCCTGCGTGGATTCACGTCAGCGACGCTTAGGAATGGGAGGCGATGGCGGTGGGCGGCCAGCGGGACAGACAGAAGAATATGCTCGTTTGAACTTCGCATTTGAATGGTCAAATTTATTGGGAGGCAGGTTTGTGTCGCATAAGCTCGATATAAGGTTGCACAACCTCGCTATGATCTTACGAGCACACTTAAGAAGGGCATAGATATAAAACGGACATTGGCGCACTGTGAAGGTTTGCTTGTGATTGCTATAAACTAAAAGTATATTTTGAAAATAAAACCTTGTTCAAAACTCCCAAAAAATATCTAAGATAGTTTGCACTTTACGCTATGCATATGGCAGAGCTGCCATGCACCATATTTTAAAGAGCCAATGTAATACCTTCTGTAAGCTGTACAGAAAACTGGTTCACTGTACACACTGAAAATCGGTGTCTTGTTGGCCTTTGTTCTTTCGCAACAAGTCAAGCCAGTCATGCCCCTGCCTCCTAGCATCTCGCATGATCAGCTGACAGATGTTTTCGTGAAATGAACCCGACGGAAGGAACATGTTGCTGATTCGCTGAACGGTGATTCGGGCAGCACCCGGAGCAGCAAACCGTCCATTTTCTCTGCCCCTCCTTCCACTCGCAACCTCGGAACCAGCGCGCGCGCGGCGGGAGCGCGCTTGGTCAGCGCAGATTATTGCGCCATCCTTGTGCTTCGTCTGCGCCCTGCCTTCACTCACTGCCCTCTACCTCTCACCATTTTACCATTTCATAAATTTGCTTGCCATAGTCAGAGCAAAGTTAGCTTGAATCTAGCTGCTACCACGAATTTAATTGCTCGCGGATCTACAATTTTATCCTCGTTCGTTGCCCTACTTCCGTCCATTCCATCAACTTCTTAATCTCTGCCCTTCGCCTACGCAGTTTACTAATGGCGCAGCTAACTCCACGACAAAAAGCCGCAGCTGGCGCGCTCTTCACATTCGCGCTCGCAGATTCCCTAAGCCAGCGATCGCACGCTTTCGCACAGCCGTTCGCAGACCTTCCGCCGGCCGTAGCAGACGCAAGAAGCGGCGCTGGGAACGCTCATCGTGCGAACGTGTGGGCGGAGGATCCGAGCGCGATACGGGTGTGCCAGCACGTGCTCAAGTGAGTTACTTACTTATTCGCTCTTCAACTGCCGACTCGCGGGCCACTGGCCACGGCGGGCTGCCCTGAAAATTAACGAAAGTATTTTTTTTTTTTTACGAGCTCGATTATGAGGAGAGTAGCTGCTTTCGGAAGCAATTGAAGTTGGAGATCCAGTACTTGACACAGTGATATCACCTTCTACCGCCCTCTGATGCCGTCGTCTGTTCTCACTGATATACTGTAGCTATGGAATATCATGTATCCCTAGGTAGGGCCTATTTCTCATTAATCTGAAGCGTGGATTTCTTGACCTCCATGGCAGGTGTCTGAGTCTTTCCGAGGCCAACGCACGCGCATGCTGCCAAATGGCCAGCGCTGGGCCTTCCTTAAAGCCCCACATTGAGAAGGTAGGCTCAAAGCAATGCACTTCAAAGGATAGGCCTAACGACCTTCTTCTCCTCCATTTCCCCCATCTCCCACATCTTCCCCCACCTTCCCCATTTCCCCAAATCCCCCCCATATCCTTTATCTTCACCTTCCCCTCTCCACGCCCTCCCCTCCTCCTCCTCCCTCCCATCCCTCCCATCTTTCCTATTCCCCCCCTTCTGAAACCTCCCCCATCTCCTCCATTCCCCTCATCTCCATCTTTCTCTCTCCTTGGCCCTACCTTCCCCCTCCTCCCCTCCCCTCCCAACCCTCTCCCCCCCGCTCTTCCCCCAGTTTCTGGGCGTGCTACTGCAGGAGAGCGCATCGCTCCCCCCAGCGGAGAGGGAGAGAGTGGCGACAGTGGCGGAGTGTGTGCGCGCACAGGCCTTGAAACTGCAGCAGCAGGCGCGGGGGAGGCGGGAGAGGGAGCAGAGGCAGGTGCGGAAGGCGTGGCAGGGGGAGAGGCAGCGCATGCATGAGGCTGCTGCTGCAGCGGCAGGGAGTGGGGGGTATGGGCGCGGAGGGGGGAGTGGTGGCGGGGGAACAGCAGGGGGAGTTGGTGCAGGCGGTGGTGCTGGTGCTGGTGGGGTGGAGAGCGATTTTCAGAGGTTGGGGTTAGAGAAATCAGGAGCAGGAGCAGGGGCTGGGACTGGTGCAAAGGCAGGGGCAGGGGCAGGTGGTAAGACAGCAGATGATTGGACAGCGGGATGGGGCCTGGATGATGGCTGGGATGAGAGGGAGAAGGTTGCAGGTGGGGGGAGTGCTATGGGTGCTGGAAAAGTAGAAAAAACAGCTGGTGGTGCTGGTGGTGGTGCTGCTGCTGCTGCTGCTGCTGCTTCTGGTGCTGGTGCTGGAGGGGCTGGCGATACAGTGGGTTCAAATCAGCAAGCGATGGAGGAGAAGAGGAGAGAGGCGGAGAGGGAGAGGGAACGGGAGGAGAGCGAGAGGGAGAGAGAGAAGGCGATGGAAAAGGAGAAGGTGAGAGCAAAGGAGGCGGAAGAGCAGAGAGAAAGGGAGCTAGAACTGGAAATGGAGCAAGAGAGAGAGCGATTGGCAAGAGAGGGAGAGACGCAGAAGGGGCAGCATACGACAAAGAGCAAGGCATGGGAGGGACAGGAGGATGATGAGGGGGACGAAGAGGAGGAGTATATGATGAGAGGTGGCGGAAGGGGCGGAAGGGGTGGCAGGGTGACAGCATCTAACCATCCCCCCTTTGCCTCTGGAGGGTTTTTCAATGGGGACGAAGAGGAGGAGGACGAGGGGGAGGGGGAAGGCTTTGGGGGAGCAGGGGGCGGGTTCGGAGGGGGGTTTGGCGGAGGGGTGTTTGCAGGAGGAGGGGGGTTTGGTGATGGGGGGTTCTTTGGGGGTGATGAGGAAGAGGAGGACGACGAGGAAGGGGGCGGGTGGGGGCAGAATGCGGGGTCTGGTGGTGGTGTTGTTGCTGGTGGTGACGGTGGTGGGGATGAGAAGGCGAGGCTTGGTGTTGAGCAAGGGGAGCAAGCGACAGGAGGCAGTGGTGGTGGAGATGTGAAGAGCGATGAGGAGGATGGGAGGCCTGGTGCTGTTACTGCTGCACCTGCTGATGCCGCTGCCGCCGCCGCTGCTGCTGCCACTCCCTCTGCCGTGGCTGAAGATTCTGCTTCGGTTGCTGCTGTCTCTGCTGCTGCTGCTTCTTCTGCTGCTTCTGACGGATCTTCTGAGAAGGTGGACGGGTCTCAAAAGTCTTCTATTGCATCTGTTTCAAAGGTGGATGAGGCAGGAGAACAAGCTGGAGCCTTGGCTTCCAAAAAAGCTGAAGCTGCAGTTTCACCAGGTAACCGAGAAAAAGCAGGAGGAGATGAAGGAGAAGAAGGGAAAGTCAAGGCAATAGAATCTGGAGGGTCAGAACTACCTGTGTCGTTCGGACCAGGGCAAGGAGCAGCAACTGAAGCAACAGCGTCAGCAGCAGCAGCAGCACCAGCAGCAGCAGCGGCAGCAGCACCGGCACCAGCAGCACCCGCACCAGCAGCAGCAACAGCAGTTGCGGCAGCAGCACCACAAGTCACTCCCCCACAGCCCACCGTCCCTCAGAACCCCTCAGCGAGAGTAACCCCTCCGTCAACCCCGCCTCCAGTAACAGTAACCCGTGAGCCTGTGCCGTTTGCCGCGACAGTGAAAGGTATTCCCGAGGACGAGCGCATTGCGATACTATGGGAGCTGTTAACTGCATTCATGTCAGATGAGCGCGCTTCTGGTGGCTCTGCTTCTGGTGGTACTGCTGGTGCTGGTGGTACTGCTGCTGGTGGTGCAGGTGGTGGTTCGGGAGCAGGGGATGCAGCAGCGCAGGGCGTGCAGGGGGGAGGGTACGACTCCCGAGAGCGCACAGCGCTTAGGCTCCTGGCCCTCTGGTTGCAGCTCGACTGGTCCCTCGTGGTACGTGCTGTGCCGTGCTGCTGTGCTGTGTTTTGAGACATCTCAGAAACAGTTAGTGTGATTAGCCTCACAGCACTCTCATCTCCTGGCCCTCTGGTTGAAGCTCGACTGGTCCCTCGTGGTACGTGCTGTGCCGTGCTTCGAGACGTCTTAGAAAACAGTCAGTCACTCATGGCATTCCGACTGCTGCTGTCCCTGTAATGATGATCTCCTCTGCTGCACCCTGCAGCCTCCCTGGTCTCGGAAATAGCACACCCACACAGCACACTCCGGCTCCTGGCCCTCGGGTCTGTTTGCAGCTTCACTGGACCCTTGTGTTACGTGCCGTGATGTGTTTTGAGGTGTGTCACAAGTAGTCAGTCACATGGCTCCCCTCCACCAGGCTGCAATGGAGCGCTTACTAGCAACAGCAGCGTACAACGCGCAATTGCAAATCGAGCAAGCAAGCAGCAGCCCCATACCACTCTCCCGGCTCGCTTCTCCCCTCCCCTCCCTCTCCTTCCTTCTCAAACCCCCATCAGGCTGCAATGGAGCGCTTCCTAGCAACAGCAGCATACCACGCGCAAGTGCAGGTCGGCCAAGCAAGCAGCAGCGGCATCCCACCCTCCCTGCTTGCTTCTCCCCTCCCTCACCTTCCTTATCAACCCCTCAACTCCCCCCCCCCCCCCCCACCACCAGGCTGCAATGGAGCGCTTACTAGCAACAGCAGCGTACAACGCGCAAGTGCAAATCGACCAAGCAGCAGCAGCAGCCGCAGCAGAGAAAGCCAAGGCGGCCCAGGCAGGCAACCGCAAGTGGGGCGGGTGGGGACGAGCCGTAAGCATAGGCGCAGCAGCAGTGGGGACAGGCGCACTGCTGGCTGTGACGGGGGGGTTGGCTGCGCCTGTGCTGCTCGCAGGGATGTCTGCTGCTGGGTCGATGATTCCGGTGGCTGGGGGGATCATCACTGGCGCTGCTGCTCTTGCTGGGACGACTGTGGGTTCTGCTGCTGTCATTGGCGCCTTTGGTGGTGAGTGGGGGCGGGAGGAAACAAAGGGGAGCAGTGGTTGCATGGCTGCTCTTGCTATCGCTCTTTGCATGATTGTTCTGGCTGGGACCACTGTGGGCTCTGCTGCTGTCATTGGCGCCTTTGGTGGTGAGTGGGTGAGGGTGGGAAGAGGGGAAGCAGTGGTCGCATGGCTGCTCCCGCTACTGCTCTTAGCATGGCTGGTCTTGCTGGGATGGCTGTGGGCTCTGCTGTAGTAATTGGCGCATTTGGTGGTGAGTGGGGGTGGGGAAGGGATGAGTGGAAGAGGGAGCAGCGGGGTTTGATGCCTTGGGAAGGAGGGAGGGTTTTCTGTGATTTGGTACAGGCAGCTTTGACATGACCTGACCGTCCCCGCTACCGCCCGTGCGTGACTGCTTACGTGGAGGCATCTGTAGACCTTCCCCACCCCTTGTCCTGTCCTGTCCTGTCCCCCCCGCCTCCCCACCCCCTTCCAACCCCTCAGCCGCAGGCGCGCGCATGGGCAGCTACAAGATGGCAAGACGTCTGGGAGATGTGGAGGAGTTCAAGTTCGTGCCACTCGCCAATGCTGATGCTGTTACTGTTGCCCCCCCTGATTTTCCCCCCTTTCCTCAACTGTTCAGCCGCGGGTGCCCGCATGGGCAGTTACAAGATGGCGCGGCGATTAGGAGACGTGGAGGAGTTCAAATTCGTGCCTCTCGCCAATGCTGATGCTGTTCGCGCCATGGGCGTTGCTGTGGGGCGACAAGGAGGGGCCGGGGGAAGGGGAGGAGCGGGAGCGGGTGGAGGAGGGGGAGGGGGACGAGGGGGAGGGGGACGAGGAGGGGCAGTGGACATGTGGCGGAGACCGGTGTCATCTGGTGATGCTGGTGGTGGGAGAGGAGGACGGGGTGGTGATGGTGATGAGGACGGTGTTGGGGTGAGTGAGTGAGTGAGTGAGTGAGGGTGTGCTTTGTGAAGAAAGTAAATTGAACAAGTAATTGGGTTAGAGGGGAAACCTAGCATACATAGTTGGAAGGAAGTGTTGGAGGAGAAGGATGGACTCAACCTATGGTTGGGTTGACCTCACTTGTGGAAGTGAGGTAACCATAGGTGAGGTGGGTTGGGTTGCCCACACTTTGAAGAAGTGAAGCAACCCTAGGCCCACTTGGCTTGTGGTGGCCTCAATTTGGGAAGTGAGGATCCCAAAAGTCAAGAGGGTTGCATTTTGGGGGCTCCACCACAATTGGGTGGATTGGCACCCCAAAGTGCAAGGCTACACCCAATGTTGGGTGTAGTCCCAACCCAACTGTACACCACAATTGGTGTACAGTCACATGTGCTTAGCATGCTACAATATATAATTCTAACATGCTTTGCATGAATGGACTGTGTGTGAGTGGCGCCGTATGTGTATGCTCATGAGTGCATGCGTGTGGTGTGTGCGCATGTGCGCGCGCGCGCATGGTGCATGCGTGCATGCATACGTGCCTCTAATGTGGCATCAGACATCATGCACGCACCCATTGACACGCACATCCCTGCCTTCTTCTGAGTTGACTCAAAAGTCATCTCACACATCTCTGCCTACTTTCAGCCATGCCTCTAGGTGACACATCCCCCATTGCTTCCCACACTGTTTCTCTTCACTCATTCTTTCGCTGCCAATGATAGCTTCTTTCACTGTTTCTCTGCAACTGTTTCTGCTTCTCATCTGTTGCAGAAGCTATCGGTGGCAGTGGTGGCAGCAGGGTATGTGCTGAACCCCAAGGACTTTGTGGAGCCATGGCTGTCCCTGCCCACTGACACTGAACAGTGAGTCGCTGGCATAGCAGCAGCGCAGGGCAGGGCACGTCATGGTATGGTATGGCATGGTGGGGTATGGTATGGCACAGCATGGCATGGCATGGCAGGGTATGTGCTGAACCCCAAGGACTTTGTTGAGCTGTGGCTGTGCCTGCCTACTGACACCGAACAGTAAGTCGCTGGCATGGGTGTGGCATGGGTGTGGCATGGCATGGCATGGCATGGTAGGGTAGGGTATGGGATAGCATGGCATGGCGGGGTATGTTCTGTGTAAAAAGGACTCTGTTCAGCCATCTGCTCTCTCTCTCCCTCGCACTCACGTCCCTTCCCCTCCCCCTCCCTCCCCTCCCTCCCCTCTTCGCCTACTCTGCTCTCTCTCACGCACACAGGTTCGCTGTGGTGTGGCAGTCAGCAGATCTCATCACATCAGGCAGAGCCATCAACGACTGGCTCATGTCCAGTTGAGTGCTGAGCGTCTGAGTGCGGAGTGTTCGAGTGTGGAGTGTTTGAGCGTGTGTGCGGAGTGAAGCGCCTCTGTTTCGATGCCCAAGAGCTCATGCTCGTGTCTTGGAACATTTCAGTGAAAGGCAGAATGCTCCCCCCCCCCCTTCTTTTCACCAGCGGCAGTGCACCGGTCAGTGGTGACGGGGGAATTTATGGTGGCCGTGCAGGTGCTGGGGGTACCTGCTGCTGCTTTAAGCCTTCTGAAACATGCACCAGTCTTTCACCCCCTTACACCCATCTTCACCGCTCCCTTTCACCCTCTCGCCCTCTCTCCTCCTTGTTTCTCCACCCGCGGTGAAGCTCTCAGTGGTCACAGGGGGAGCGCGATGGGTGGCAGTGCAGGTGCTGGGGGCGGCTGTTGCTGGGTCTGAACTCAACTGACACACACTGACACACACTGACACACACTGACACACACTCACACACACTCACACACACTCACACACACTCACACACACTGACACACACTGATACACACTCGCTCATGCACCCACCAACCATCCCCTCCCCCCCCTTCTCCTTCCGTTACCCACCCCCGCCCCTTCTCTTAATTCACCAGCGGCGGTGCAGCGGTCAGTGGTGACGGGGGGAGCGCGATGGGTGGCTGCTGCTGCTTCAAGCCTACTGATACATGCACCTCTCTTTCTCTCCCCGCACCCATGCACACATGCGCACCCCTCTCCCCCTCTTCGTTACACCAGCGGCGGTGCAGCGGTCAGAGGTGACGGGGGGGACGATGGTGGCAGTGCAGGTGCTGGGGGCGGCTACTGCTGCTTGGGCTGAACTCAACTGACAGACACTGACACACTCGCCCATGCAACCCCTTCACCCTTCTCCCTCCCTTCTTCCCTCTTTCTCGTGCTTCACCAGCGGCGGTGCAGCGGTCAGTGGTGACGGGGGGGACGATGGTGGCGGTGCAGGTGCTGGGAGCGGCGTCACTGTGGCCCATAACGCTGCTCACTGCCGCTGCTACGATTGACGACAAGTGGAGCGTTGCTGTCAACCGGTGAGGATAGGGAATGGGATGGAACTAATGATGGGATGGGGAAGGGCGGCTGCTGTGTGGCCCATAACGCTGCTCACTGCCGCTGCTACGATTGATGACAAGTGGAGCGTGGCTGTCAACCGGTGAGGGCATTTGGGAAGGGGATGCCACCCCATCCCCATGCCGCCTCATCTGTTGTTCTCTGTGCTTCCGTTTGTGGGTGCCCTCTGCTGTAACCACACTCGTGCTCTGCTAGTTGTTTTTGAGAATTCTCGAAAACAACCTGCAACATTTGTGGGTGCCCTCTGCTTTCACCGCACCACACTCGTGCTCTGCTATTCTTGAGAAGCTTTTTGAGTCGACTTGAAAATCGTCTCTCCTCTCACCGCACCCGTGCTCTGCTCTGCGCTCTCTGCTGTGCGGCACACTCCCACTCTCCACTCACACCACACTTCGTCACCCTCGTATCACCTTCGTTTACCCTTGTATTATTTACTCGTATTGGTGTGCGTGCATGTGTGCGTGCGTGTGTGCGTGCGTGTGTGCATGTGTGCATGTGTGCGTGTGTGCGTGTGTGCGTGTGTGCGTGTGTGCGTGTGTGCATGTGTGCATGTGTGCGTGTGTGCATGTGTGCATGTGTGCGTGTGTGCATGTGTGCGTGTGTGCATGTGTGCATGTGTGCATGTGTGCATGTGTGCATGTGTGCGTGTGTGCATGTGTGCATGTGTGCATGTGGGTGGCAACACCAGCACGGACAAGGCAGGAGCAGTGCTGGCAGATGTGCTCTTGGAACGAACACAGGGATCCAGGTGCGCTTTGCAAAGTCCAAACCACACTTCTGTTTTAAGTTGAGACTACTTTGAGTCGCCACAGAAGGCATCTGTTGGAACGAACACAGGGATCCAGGTGCGCCCTTTAGATTCAAAACCACGCTTGTTAGTAAAATTTCTCGTGTCAAATCTTTGCTCTTTGCGACTCCTCTTTACAGCCCACACTGTGCTTGATTCAGGAGATCCTCCCGTTCACATATCCACCTGTGCTGCTCTCTCCCTTCCCCCTCATCCCCCTTCCCCACTTTCTCCTTCTTCATTTCCCCCATCCTTTCCCGCACCCTTTTTGCAATGTTGCCCCCATCCTTTCACCGACCCACTTCCCAATCCTCATACAATGCCAGTGACACTGATTGGCCTCACTAAATCAACCATTCTATATTCCTGCATATTCGCTTGTCTCAAGCACCAACACACATATTCCCACACTTTCCCGCTCCCTCCCACTTCCCCTCCCACCACTCCCGCCGTTTCCCCACCCTCCGCCCCTTCCCCCTCCAACCCAGGCCTGTGACGCTGATAGGCTTCTCCCTTTGTCTGACTTTTGAGTAGACTCAAAAGTCACCTCGTTACATATACTCTTCCCTGGGTCTACGCCTCATCTTCTCCTGCCTCTCCAACTGACACGTACTCTTCCCTGCCTGTTACCCCACCCTCTCCCCCAATCCCATGCAGGCCAGTCACGCTGATAGGCTTCTCCCTCCCTGGGTCTATGCCTCATCTTCTCCTGCCTCATACTCTTCCCTCCCTGTTACTCCACCCTCGCCCCCAACCCCACGCAGGCCAGTCACGCTGATAGGCTTCTCCCTCGCTAGGTCTATGCCTCATCTTCTCCTGCCTCTCCAACTGACACATACTCTTCCCTGCCTGTTACTTCACCCTCACCCCAACCCCACGCAGGCCAGTGACGCTGATAGGCTTCTCCCTGGGTGCGCGTCTCATCTTCTCCTGCCTCACCCACCTCGCCGCTAAAGGCCATGCTGCAAGTAAGTACCTCTTTCCTCCCCCATATATCTCTCTCTCTCCTAACCCCCATCCCTTTCCAAGCCCTCCTTTTCCCCACCATACCCACAGCCCCATCCTCCCCCCTCTCTCCTCTTTTCTGCCTTTCCCCCTAGATTTAACTTCTCCTGGCTCACCTACCTTTGAGAATTCTCAACAATGATTTCCATATAGCCCATCCTACCTTGCTGCTAAAGCCCATCCCGCCAGTGAGGCACCTCCCCCTCTCTCCCCCATCCTTTGGCCCCCATCGCCCTTTCTTTTCTCTCATCTTCCATTCCTTTTCCCTCATCCCCTCTTTCGTCTTTTTCTCCCGGCCCCCTCAATCGCAGTGGGGGTGGTGGAGCGGGCAGTGCTACTGGGAGCACCAGTGGCAGCACGAGACAGCTCATCAAAGATTGTTCTCGAGAAACCTCAAAACTCCCTCTCTTCCCTCTCCCCCTCCCCCCTGCTCTCTAAAACAACAGTGGGGGTGGTGGAGCGGGCAGTGCTACTAGGAGCGCCAGTGGCAGCACGAGACAGCTCCGCATGGGAGGCAGCACGGCGGGTGGGAGCAGGGGCAGGGGGGCAGGGGAAGAGGGGGGAAAGAGGGGGAGTGAAGGGGAGTGACGGTGGATAGTGGAGGAGGGTGAAGGGGAGGAGTGAGGGGGAGAGTGGAAAGGGAGGAGTGAGGTGGGGAGTGGAATGGAAGGAGAAGAGGAGGAGGGGGTTACAGAGGAAGGGTTCATCTGTTGCTTGCCTTTATCTGTGCTTTTCATTTACACCCTTCTGCTTTCGCTTCGTGGTTCAAATCAAACCCCGTTCGAGAGGCTCCCTTAACACAAGACAGATTTCAAGGCGGGCCACCATAATCCCTGTAACATCGCCCCCAGGGGGGATAACATCTGCCCCCTCTCATTACTGAGAGGCTACTGCTATCCGCATGTGTCTCCCCTCGCCCTCTCCATCTTACACCCTTCCTCTCTCATCTCTCCCTCTCGCTCCCCCTTCCGCTCATGCTCACACCACCCCTCAGGTTGTTTCGGGTCGCTTGGTGAACGGCTACTGTGAAAATGACTGGGCACTGGGTCTCATGTACCGCACAAGGTATGCTTATGCTTTCAATAGCGAGGTGGCTTGTGAGTCGACTCAAAAGCTGCTGCTCGGTGAACGGCTACTGTGAGAACGACTGGGCGGGCGCTGGGCCTCATGTACCGCACCAGGTACCCTCTTTCACATGTTCTCAATCCACTCTAGACTCTACCCTATTCACTCTAGTTTCTTAGTTGTCTCAAAGTTCTGCTTGGTGAATGGCTACTGTGAGAACGACTGGGCACTGGGCGCTGGGCCTCATGTATCGCACAAGGTATGCTTTTGCTTTCAATAGCGAGGTGGCTTGTGAGTCGACTCAAAGCTGCTGCTTGGTGAATGGCTACTGTGAGAACGACTGGGCCCTAGGTCTCATGTACCGCACCAGGTATGCTTATCCTTCCCAGGTGTTTCCCATTACCCACTCTAGTGTTTAGATTCTACGCTTTAGGATTTAAACACTAGGTTCTTGACTTGAGTGTAGAGTCTAGGGTTGGAGACTTTGGATGAGGCACAGGTTGGGTTGGGATGGTTGGGGGCGCATCCTCATCTTCTTAAGCTCATGGTTACACTCCGTTTTTCCTGCCTATTCTCGTTGTGTGTGTTGAAGTATGTGTCTGGCTGTGTGTGCTTCGTTATTTCTTCTGATTCATTTCCTCCGTTGTTTCTCCTCCTTCACTCCCTCCCTCCCTCCCTCCCTCCCAACCACCCGCACACTCTCCATCTCTCTCCCTCCTCTCCGCCTCTTTCGCTCTGCGTCCTTCCCCCCCTCCCTCCTATATGGTCAACCCACAGTTTCCTGCTTTCAGGAGTTGCAGGCATTCAAGCAGTCAAGGTTAAGGGAGTTGAGAACGTAAGCTACTCTCCTCATCTTCGTCCCTCCCTTCATTCTTTCCGCTCTCTCTTCTCTCCTCCCATCCCAACACCTTCTAAACTATTCACTGTTCTTGATTCTCCTTCAACTGCATACTCAGTGAGTTATTGCGTACTCAGTGATTTCACTGCATGAACATGCTCCTTCCATCTATGCATAACACAACCGCATCTGTTAAGATAAGCATTCCGTTGATCCTTCCATCCTTTCCAGCACTCGTCTCTCACCACCTCTTGGCTCCTAGTTTCCCCCAACCCTCGTGATTTTCGAGGTGCCTCAAAAGTCCCCCTACCCTCCTGATGCCTCTTGCACACCAACTAGGTGCATTTCACACCTCCCATCAATCGACAGGCACACGAGCTACCTCTCGGGAGACTTTTGAGTCAACTCAAAAGTTGCCTCTTGCGCACCAATTAGGTGCATTTCACGCCTTTCATCAATCTACAGGCACACAAGCTACCTGTCGGGAGTGCCAAGCAACCATTCTCTCTTCAAACAATATCTGTTGAACGTGTCTCCCTCCCTCCTCCCCATTGCACGCCATTCAGGTGAATCTCACGCCTCTGGTGGACGGGCACACGAGCTACCTGTCGGGAGTGCCGGCCATTCTGGATGCACTCAGCATCGACTCTCCTCTCGCTGCCACGCCCGCGGACGTGCTGAGAGCCGCCAAGGAGTGGAAGGCGGAAGAGGAGAGCCTCATCTGAGAGTGCTTTGGGTATTCCCTGTTCCGTGTATTCCCTTCTGTGGTGGGCACATGGAGTGCGGCCATTCTGGATGTACTCAGCATCGACTCTCCTCTCGCTGCCACGACTGCAGACGTGCTGAGAGCAGCCAAGGAGTGGAAGGAGGAGGAGGAGAGCCTCATCTGAGAGTGTGCTGTGGATATACTTGTTCCCTGTATTCTCTTCCCTGTGGCGGGTGCATTGAGTGTCGGCCATTATCGTTGCACTGATCATCGACTCTCCTCTCGCTGCCACGCCTGCAGACGTGCTGCGAGCTGCCAAGGAGTGGAAGGAGGAGGACGACAGCCTTATATGACTCCGCCTGGGTTAACCGTACTAGTTCTGTACATTTTCTGTTGTGTTTGAGCATACGACATGACACGAACTGCCTACATGCCAGGACAATGCTCCTCCGTGTTTCCTTCAGTCGGCGCTTTTCTTTGGAATGGCCTCGCGCTTTTCCGTTATTTCGGAATTTACTCATGCTGCTTGGAAAGAGGAAAAAGAAGGCTTCGCTTCACAGTTTCATGGCCACCGCAGTACATGTGGGAAGGAAAGGGCCTTGTCATTGTTTAGAAGCAGTACAGTGGTGCATACGGTGAGACGATCGTTTCCTCAACTGGTCCTTGGTTTTTACCCCAGACAGCATTGTTGCATTGTTATTTCCTCACATGGTTGGACCGCCTTTGTCACATCACATGCAATTATGTACAGGCGAGCAGGAACAAAGCAAGGCAGGCTGCGAATTGCAACTTGTGTGACTGGCGACAAAATGAAATGGTGAAGAGTTGTTATGATAGAGCAGGCCAAGACGTCGGCACCCATGGACCAAACGAGCCATCTAAGAGACGCTCCACTCTTGTTACAAGCACTTCTACAGTGTCAGCGGGCATGTTGCCTATGCACTGCACAATACAGGGGAGCACAGGAAGAGGACCCGCCTCCAATAAGAACCAACAAACAAGGTGGGGGGAAAAAGGCATCTGGGAAAAAAACATAAAAGAAAGGAACCCAAACTGGGAGAACAAAAAATAGCAGCAAAATGCTCAGAATGCTCAGAATGCTCAGAATGCTGGTACTTACCTGAGCTTTGGTTATATGTGGATGCCATACTATCACTGCTGCTGTTCCCACACAAGGCACATCGCTTCTTCCTTCAACCCCTTCACTCCCTCTGCTTGCCCTCCCTTCACTCTCCACCTCCACCCATCCTTCACCTTCCTCCTGCTGTTCCTTCCCTCTCTCCTCCCTTCTCTCCACCCCACTCCCTTCTTTACCGCCGTACCCATCTCCACCGCTCAACTCCTTATCCTCAGTTATTCTCCCTCCTTTAGCTCGTGGGGAGAAGAGGGAGAGCACGGACAACCATGCTTGGTGTTTTGATGAGTCAACCTGATATCACGTTCAAAGGCAATAACATGATACCGGGGACGTGACGGATGAGGGAGAGGTGGAGAGGGGGATGGCTACAAAGAACAATCTTATGCAGGTAAGGTTGATGCAGGGAAGGCAAGGGCACCAAGGATGGGATGCAAGGAAGGGTGATGCAAGGGAGGAGGATGCAAGACGGAACAACCGTGCCAACAAGAGTGAGATACGATAAGCATAGCAGATGCAAGAATAGGCGAGAGCGAGGGAATTGAGAAGGAGGGCGGATGAGAAAGGGTGGCATGAACTGGGGAGTGGTGAGGAAAAGCAGGTGTAAGTGTCCAACGTAAGGTGGTGGTAGGGTAGGGTCCTAGGAAGGGCTTACATGGGAAAAGACAAGCCTTGGTTCTTTGGCAAAGGATGCGGCCACCTGCAATTGGCCACAGGGGACAGGGATGGGGACGGAGACGAATCGAGCTTCATTCGAATCCATGGTGGCAATACGTGGCAGCAGCTTTTCTAAAAGCACCTGCGTAGGCAGCGGACCACAGGAGATGGGGATGGGGATGGGGATGGGGATGGGGATGGGGATGGGGATGGGGATGGGCATGGGCATGGGCATGGGGATGGGGATGGGGATGGGGATGGGGATGGGGATGGGGATGGGGATGGGGCCAGCCTGGAACAGCCTCAGGCATACCTCTCTGTAGCTAGTCAGAGCAGTGTCTTTGTCAGACTGGCCACAGTCTTGCAGCACCATCACCACCGCATATGGCGCCATGCTACCACTGCTCTTTAACATGCTGCTGCTGCTGGTGGTGGTACCGCTGCTAGTGGTGTTAGTGCTGCTGCTCTTAGTGGTGCCGCTGGTGGTGGTGCTGCTGCTGCCTGTTCGTTTATCAGCAGGTAACCACCAGCAATCCGCGCTAGAAGAGAGCTCCACCACTCCACCGCCCTCTATTCTACCTTGCTTCCCCCTCCCTCTGCCACCGCTGGCACTGCTCCTCACACCACTCTTTGCTACCTCACCCCTGCTACTACTACTGCTAACCCTGTTGCTGCTGCCACTGGTATCCATGCTGCTGCTGTGAATGCTACTGAGAGCATCACAGGTGACAGTGGAAAGAGGTGGGAGGTAGTCAGACGAGGGGTGGTGAGTGGGACCATGCTCCCGCATGTTCAGTCGCTTCCTCTGCCACTCCCTCCGTACAGACTCCTGTGCTGCTCTCGCTGCACTATCTGCGGCACGTATCCCCTCTTTTTTCTTCACCCATTGCCCCTTTTGCTGATCCACTCCCCATCCCTCTCCCTCCTCCCCTTCCTCCTCCTCTTCCTCCTGTTCCTCCTCCTCCTCTTCCTCCTCCTCTTCCTCCTCCTCTGCTATTCTCATACCCCCTGCCCCTGTTGCAGGTGCAGTGGAAGGAGCACCTAAGCACGTGCCGATAGTGTAGATGACAATGAGCGTTATGAAGGCAGACAATAGCGGGGATGAAATAGCCTCCCCTAGCGGCTCCCCTAACAGCAGCTCCAGAGTGTGTTTGCAGGCATAGAAGGATTGCCAGAGGAAGGAGAGAAGGGCGGAGGGGAGAAACCAGGCAGGTATAGAAGAGGAGGAAGAGGAGGGAGAGAGTGTGTGGTCCCACCAGGTGTTTGGGTGGGCCAGAGCGGGGGGTTGTTGCTTGAGTGGTCGGAACTGGGGCAGGTGGATGGGTGGGTGGGTGGGTTGAGAGACGAAAGAGTACAGAGTGCAGAGAAATTTGAGTCCTGGTGAGTTTTAATGCGCTGCATGGAAAGAGGCATGTGTATGAGGTACGGGATAGCATGATCGTATGGGGCATGGGCATGGCATGTGATGCGCATGGGCATGGGCATGGGCATCGATATGGGCATGAATATGAGCATGGTAATATCCATCACCTGAGGATGCGAGGTGACTTTTGAGTCGACTCAAAAGTCACATCGATATGGGTATGAATATGAGCATGGTAATATCCATCACCTGAGGATGCACAATGTCATGTGACTTGCTGCGTGAGATGAGTCAAATTGTGAGTCGACTCAAAAATAGGCACAAGTCGATGAGATTATTACCTGAGGATGCACAAGGTCATGTGACTCGCTGCCTCCTATGAGATCTGATAGCCACTCAAACACCTGATGGGGAGGGTGGAAGGAGGGTAGAGATGAGAGCGAGGAGGAGTAGGGGGAGGAGGAGGAGGAAGAGGATCAGAACAGTGAGGAACGGAGAAAAGTACCCAAGGTAGCGAGTTGGGCAACCGTAAACCCTTCCAGCATCCCCAAACCATTCGACCATCGTCAGACCCTTTCACCCTCCTTGCATTGCCAATTAATTCTCAAAAACCACACACGCCTTTGCAAATCCTCAAACGGTGTGACACCCACCCACTCACCTCTCCTGCAGAGACCACAGGGCAGTCGTCTCCTCCTCCCCCCTCACTCCGCCTCGTTCCCCTCCCTGCTGCCCTCCCCCCTCCTCCCTTCCTTCTTAGCACAGCCACATGTTGTGATACCCTCCTCCGACCCCCTCCCCCCTTCACCCCCTCTCCTCCTAACTCTCCCCATCTTGCTCCCCATCCTCCGTTCACCCTTCCTCCCTTTCGGCCTGTTCCTCCTCCCGTTCCCACGTGCTGGTGTCGCAGCAGCACAATGGCAGGACAAGCCCCCGTTCTCAGACTTGCTTTGCCATCTCCGTCTTCTTTTCCCCACCTGCCCCAGCTCCATCCAGCAATCAGAGAGCTTTTTGGCTGCCCGAGAGGAAAGTATGGAGAGCCGAGAAAGTGGAGCGAGAGAGAGTTGGTATAGTCTTGAAAGGAGGAGGAGAGGGAGGAGAGGAGGTGGGAGGCGAGGAGGAGAAGTCGGTCGAGATAGTGTGTGGTGTAGTGTGAGAGAGGGGGGGAGGAGCAGAGGGAGAGGATGGAAGGGGGAGGGGCGAAGGGCGAGAAAGGGAGGTAACGGAGAATTGAGGAGGAGAGACGTGAGAGGGAGGAGGTGATAGGAGATGGAAGGATGTGGAAAAGGGGAGAGAACAGCTGGGAAAAGAATTGAGCAAATTGCGCAGCGATTCTAGGCACGAAGTGAGAGTGAGCGTGTGAGCGAGTGTGAGAGTGAGTGTGGGAGTGAGGGGAGAGGGAGAGGAGGAAGCGGCAAACAGCTGGCTGTTGAGAGGAATCAAGCCAGGAGAGGAAGAGGCGGTGGGAGGAGAAGGCCGTGTAGGGAGGGGAGGAGGCGGAGGAGGGTGCGTTGTCGAGAATCCGCTTCAGCTTGCGAATCTCCTGTTAATTGGGGAGGTGTGGGCAAGGGGTGGGGCAAGGGTTAGGCAAGGGATGGGCACGGGGTGGGGATGAGATAAGGCAAGGGATGCACAATTGCAAGGAAAGTGAGGGATGGTTAGTAGCAGAGAGTGATGAGAATGATGATAGTGGTGGCGAGTAGAGCAGAGCAGCTTGGAGCAAGTGACCAGGTGGCGACGAAAGTCCCTAAGGACCAGCTCACAAGCACAAGAGGAGCACAAACACGACAAATGTTACTAGTGAAAAAGAGGCAAAATTGCAGCATAGATTAGCATACCGAAAGGGAGGAGGCGAAAGAGGAGGAGTTGGAGAGGGCAAGGTCTGCTGAATGGCTGATGAGCACTAGAGAATACCAAGGGCCGTGTGCGGGGAGCGAGGGGTGAGAGGAGTCGGCTGAGGAAGAGGAGGAGGACGAGGAGGAGGAAGAGGAGAAGAGGGAGAAGACGTGGGAGGAATCCGGGATGTAGAAGCGGAGCAGAGGTGCTGAGTCCTTGTGTAGGGAAAGGAGATCTGTGGAAAGGAGAGGAGACAAGGGAAGAGGTTAAGGAATAGTGAGGGTGTTGGTGTGTGTGTGCACATGTGTGTGTGCGTGTGTGCATGTGTGCATGTGTGCATGCGTGCGCGCGTGTGTAAACGCTGCATACCTTCTGTGTACCGAATGCCTGCCTTACTCTGCCCTGCCCACTTCCTCTCCTCATTCCCAGCTGGGAACTCGCATGCTCACTCCTCACATCTCACGTGCGGCTCAAATAAACGCCTACCAGGCGATTGATATGCAGAAAGAAGATCATGTAACTTGTCCTTTCTGGCCAGTTTCATTCAATCTGGGACTGAAAGCTTGGTCCACTTTCATGCATGGAGCACATGTAGAAGCTTACCAGGCGATTGGTTCTTAGACAGCACGTCTTGAAGCCTGTCTTTGCTCCATTTCCCTGGACAAAGTGGGTGACACGATGAGGGGTGAAAAGAGGAGCAGGGTGCGGGGGAATGCAGAAGGAGGGAAAAAGCAGGCAGGTGGAAAAAAGAAAGATGAGGGCACTGAGAAGAATGCTACCTGTGAAGAGTCTACCAGTGGAGAATGGCACAAATTCAGAGCGAACAGAACGTTACTAGTACAAAGAGTGGTACCAAGAACGCGTGTTACTCACCAGTGACAACGAGCGGTTCCCTGAGAGGGTCCTTGAATATGAGCAGACAGGGCAGGCGGCGCAGCCCCAGACTGCTCATGTGGGGATGGGTGAAGGGAAGGGAGCACAAGGAACGACGGAACGGGTTATATTCAGCACGGTTGAGAGAGCACAGAGGGTCCCTAAAGATGAGAAGACAGGGAAGGCGACGCAGGCCCAGGCTGCTCATGTGGGGATGGGTGAAGGGAGCAACGGGAAGAGCAGGACGGGGGCAAGTGAAAAGGGTCAGCTGGAAAGGGATACGGCAACTGAAAAGGGAGGGTGCAACTGAAAAGGGAGGGAGCAACTGAAAAGGGAGGATAAATTTAAACCGCACAAACACACAGAGATTTCTGGATAAATTCAAACCGCACCGAGGGGCGAGCGCGTTGAGGTGGTGTGGGTGAAGCGCGACAGAGGAGAAGTGCAGGGAGGAACGCCACTGCGGGTCTGCTGCTGCTACCCGCATCTGGAGAAGCAGAGCTGCTGCTGCTGAGGAGGAGGAAGGGGAGGAGGAGGAGTCGACTGGAACTGCAGCCACTACGACTGGCTTTTGGAAGGAAAGGCGGAGAGGAAGGGACTCCTGTGAGGAGAGGGAGGGGAAGGAGGGAAAGGCGAAGGTTGGTGGACGAGGTTGGGGATGGGGAAGAAGGACGGAGTGAGGAGTGGGAGAAAGAGGAGTAAATGGAAAGCAGCAGGGGGGGAAGCAATAGGGAGAGAAGAAAGGTGCTGGTGCATGCACAAACGCAATTTACAAAATTCCTGTGCTTACATCATCCATGTTTTTAGAATTGTGGACACGTGCGGGTGCGTGTGCTGTGCATGTGCATTCGCATGTGTGTGTGCATGTGCATGTGCACATGCCAGCAGGAGAACGTACCAGGAGGGACGGAGAGACGGCGGGGAGGTAAGGCAGGAGGAGGAGCGAGTCAGTGAGGAAGGAGCGCAGAGAGGAAGGGGCTGCAGAGGCCCACACGGACGAGCAGCAGGAGATGTCCCGACAGGATGGGGTGAAGGCCACAAAGGCTGGGAAGCCTGGTGGTGTGAAAAGGAGTAAGGGGCAGAGTAGGGAGGGCAAGTTAGGTGGTAGAGCAGGAAGAACAGGATGGGGTGCAGGTCACAAAGGCTGGGAAGCCTGGTGGTATGAAAAGGGGCAAGGGGGCAGATGAAAAGGAGCCATTAAAAAAAGGAGGGCAGGGGAAAACGGGAGAAGAAAATCGAAAAGCAGGGAGGAAGAGCAGGCAACGGCACACCACACCGCACCGCACCGCACCACACCGAGCATGGAGTACGATTCTTGAGGCGCCTCCAAAACCAGAGCAGAGAGCACAGAACACAAAGTGCCGGGCAGGGGGCAATGCGCAGTGGGAAGTGGGCAGAGGACAGTGGGCAATGGGCAGCAGGCAGGGGACACTTTTGAGTCGATTTAAAAGTCATGGACAGCAGGCAAGGGACACGAACCAGATCCAAAGCCAAAGGAGGAGCGGAAACACTTGTGGTTGGCGAGAACCGATGCCAGACGCCGCTGCTCTGATACCTCCACCCTGCCAAACCGCACCACACCTTCAAATTCCGACGCTGGAGCAGGAGGGGACACAGAGATGGGGGAGGGTAGTGGGTCTTTGTTACAGTCCAATGGCTGAGGGGGAAAGTTGAAATCAACGGAATGATACAAAGAAGAATCAGTGGTTCCAGAAACTGGAATCATCTGCTTAGGCAGCATTTCATAGATTTTAACTCACCCATCCAGTCATTCCCGGCACAGCACAGCACCGCATAGCACCCACCCAGCCATTCCCAGCACGGCACCGCACCGCACAACACCCACCCAGTTTCTCCCAGTGCGGGGCAAAGGCGCGGGACTGTGGCGAATAGATGGAGAAAATCTGGATGAGCCACGCGTCCCCGCCGCCCAGCACATGCTGCCCAAAGTTGACAGCTGTCAGCGTCTTAGTGGCCGATGGCATGAGGTCTGCGGGAGTGGGGAGAGGGGGGCGGGGGAAAGGGGAGGGGGGATAGAGGAGGAAAGGTGGGAGGAGGAGGGTGGGGGAGAGGGGAGATGATGGAAGGTAGAAAGAGAGAGCATGGGGGAAAGGGGAAGAGGAGGAAGATGGAGCACAGTTAAAAGGGGAAGGGAGAGGATATGAATGGGAGGAGAAAGAAAACCATGGCTTCAAAGCGTGCCAGAGGGACACTGAGGCACGCACACTAGGAAAGGGGACGAGTGGAGAGATGCTAAGAGGGGAAAGGGCGTGTGGGGAGAGGGCAAGTGGGGAGGGTGACGGCCAGAGGGAAAGTGGCAACAATATTCACCAGGGCTGCAAAGTTCCCTCTGTCCAACATTTTATATTCCACTATGATTTTAGAAAGGCAAGTGAGGTAGGGGCAAGTGGGATGGAAGAGGGCCAGAGGGAAAAGTGGCAGAAACTATAAACACTGTAGCTTCAAATCCCATTTTTTTGGCAGGCATTTTAAAAGACACGGAGTGGGAAGAGGAGTAGGTGGAGCACGCACCATCGCTCTGCTGCTGTCCCCAGTGCGAGAAGAACGAGTCGGAGTAGGCATGATGATGCTGGTAGCGCTGCTGTCTCTGGTACTGACCCCCACCGCTGTGACCGTCCTGGTGGGATAGGAGGTACGCAAAAGAAGAAAGCGACTTATCACAACAGACTCGATCGCGTTGCACTCACTGCTCCGGCAGCAACTGCAACGAGAGCAGTTGAGAGGCATTACCCAACTCCAGACGAACCCACACACACAGACCCTGTCACGCTGCCCACTCACCGGGTCACCACATCATCAGTTACCATGAACAATCAAGTTGTGAGTTGAGAAGTTGAGACGCCTACAAACTCACCTCATCAGCACCATAGCGGTCGAACCTCCTCCGCGCCTCCTCCTCCCCCACCATCTCATATGCTGCCTGCACTGACAGGAACCGCTCGTGTGCTGCCTTTGCGCCCTGGTTCTTGTCTGGGTGCCTGGGTGAGGGGGGGTTGAGGGGGGTTGGGTGGGGGTTGGGTGGGGTTGGGAGGGAGGGGGGTTGTCGGGGTTGTGTGGGGTTGAGCCCCCTCCTCACCGCATCACCACCGTAGCGGCCCCCGCGCCTCCTCCTCCCCCACCATCTCATATGCCGCCTGCACTGACAGGAACTGCTCGTGTGCTGCCTTTGCGCCCTGGTTCTTGTCTGGGTGCCTGTGTATGGGGAGGTTGGTTGCGGTTGGTTTGGGTTGGGTTGGATTGGGTGGAGTTGGGAGGGTTGGAATGGACGGGGTAAGGTGAATGACCTTCCTGTGCTTGTCCAGCTGTATTGATAGGAGAGAATATGGTGGGTTGGGATGGAGATGGAAGGGAGGGAATGTTAAAAAGGAAAACTTGGAGGGGAAACGTTGGGTTGAAGTAGCAGCAGGATCGAAGAAACAACAGGGTAACAACAGGGGGGTGATGAATGGAGAGCACTCAAGAATCCAACCCCCACAGACCATCTTCCTTACTGCTCATTCTTGCACCCCTCTTCCTCACTTCCTCCCTTTCTCTCGCCACAGCCGTTCTGCTCTCACCATCACCCCTGCCCCCACCACCCTCCCGCACTCTCTATTTCACCATAGCCTCCACGCTCCCAGCGCTCTCTCCACAAAGCCCCGCCTGCCATCATTCCCAACGCTTTCCCCTCCCACAGTCCTCCCACTCCCACCGCTCCCCACCGCTCCCCACCGCCCAGCACTCACCATCGCCTGGCGAGCTTCTTGTACGCAGCACGGATGTCCTGCTGTGACGCATCTCGAGCCACGCCAAGCACTGGGGAAGAGAGGACGGGGGAAGGGAAGGGGGGGGGGAGGGGGGGAGAGGGGAAGTGCGTGCATGATGGGCAAGCAGGGGGAGGGGAGGGGAAAGGGGGGTCCGGGGGGAAGAGGAAGCGGTTGAAGGGGAATGGAGGGAGATGGGGCGTGGTGAAGGGAGGTATTGTAAGAACGGGAGGGAACGGGAAGGAAAGTATGGAGGATCAAGGAAAAGCATCAGAGGAGATTGGATGTGATAAGAGAGGCAGAGGTATGATACAAGGGGCGCATGCGGGAGGAGCGACGAACGGAACTGGGGAGAGGAGACGGAGGAGAACGTCACAACACCGAGAACGTCACAACACCGAGAACGTCACAACACCCTTGATGTAGAATCTCAAGCGACAAAGAGATCTTATGAGGGCGACCCTTGTGAAGGGCCGACCCTTTTCAGGCCAGCGGCGAGACGAACCTTTGTAAGGATCGCGCACTTTCGAGCATGCGACGAAGGCAGGCGAGGGGAGGAACGGCAGATCGAGAAGCAGAAGCAGCGGCGGCAGCAGCAGCGACGCCGCGAGCAGGGCGACTGCGGCGAGCAGCCCGAACGGACGGCTGAGATGACGCGCCATCGCAACCGCTTCGGACGGTAGGATCGTCGCGCGCTGTCAAGAAAGCGCGAATTGCGGTACGCCCCAGGCCTTGTGGCTGACTCAACGGTCACCGCGGGTGCGCCACTTACGCTAATCAACGGCAATTGCTCAACAGGATCACTCCAACAAATCTCTTTGCAACTGCACCAACAGCATCACCATCACCACGAGCACCGACGGCACCACCGGCACCACCAGCACCGACCAGAGCAGTTCATCAATGCAAGTCTATGCGGCGCTGCGGTAACTCTCAAATACAGTCATCGTAACCCGTGGCGCCGAAATCGGCTGCGGGTGGAGGTTAGAGAACCTCGGTTTTACGGACTGCCTCCTCTGCTTTTGTCGAGGCGCATCGAAAGCAGCACTAAGACAGCAACGCGTCAGATTACATCAAGAGGATCTAATCAGAGATGCCCAGGCACTAGCACCCTGTCCTCACCGCAGCAGCAGCTGCTGTCTTCTGAGATAAACTACCGAGAGCATCGACACTTCGACAACTGAAGAGCAGAAGGTTTGCTCCAGCAAGACCCATCAATGAATCTGTACGCGTTTGCAACACCCAGAAGCTTTACCTCCGACAAGTCATATAGATTACACAGATGAGGTATATATTTCATCGGTCACTTCCGTGGTTATTGATGGGGCAAATGGTAAAAACAAATCATTTTGTGTTTTATTATTTCTTTTTTCAGTGTTAGCTGGTGTTTCCGCATGTTTCATTTGATGCTTCATTGCGTGCAAATCAATTACTTGAACAGCCGTTCCGTTAAAGTAAAAGTGCATCTAACGTTAACGCGTACAATGGTTGCTTTTCACTATCCATCCATCCCCATTACAGCCCAACCATTCCATGGCTCTGAGTGCCTGCTCATCGCGCCTCTTACTCCGCTCTTCCTCCTCCGCCTTTCCAATCTCTGCTGTGTCTCGGTCACGTTCGTCCCTGCTCCTAACAGGGTCCCATCGAACTCTCACGTCGCCTGTTTCTGAATCCCCTTCAAGCTCGCTTGTTTCTCGGAGTTTGTCCAGCGTCGGAATCTGCCGGGGGGATTTGAGTTCCACAAGTGTGCACCACGTTGAACATTCTTGCATTCCGCTTCGGTAAGTAATGCCGTCCATTACTTATGTGCATTTTTTTCGTTGCGGTATTTCCCCCATTTGCCTATTAGCGTTGCGCTGTTGGCCACCAGTCAGAATGCCGCTACCGATTTCGAATCACTAGAGTCCAATCACAAACCCGTTTCGTTTCCATTAATTCCATTGAATCGCAACCGTGCATTATCTCGCAGAAGAGCGCCGGCCTCAGCCTCTGCGACAAACCCTCGTCGATTCACCACCCGCAGCATTGTAGCAATGGCAGGAAGCAACGAGGAAGCTGCCGCTAAGGCAGCGTCGGCGGTCGCGGATTCAGGCAACCCAACCATGTGAGAGAGAGGGCAATGGGCGAGGGTGGTGTTGGTTGTTGGGGGGGGGGGAGGGGAGGGAGAGAAAGGAGACTGAGTATAGTAGAGAGAAATTCGGTGTGATGGGAAAAGGTGAGAGAGTGGGAAGGTTGATGGTGAAAGTTGGGAGGGAAAAGGTGAGGAAGGAGGTGCAACTAGATAGGGGGTGGGGTGTGCATGGCGGGCACGTTTATTTCCCTAAGAGCCTCTGAGAATGCTTCCTGGTGATGGTTATCATCTCGTTTGCCCTGCTTTATCCTCACCTCATAGCCTTATTTGAGGTCTGCACTCCTTTGCCTGCAGATTTGATAAGATTGTGCGCAAGGAAATTCCTGCTAATATCGTGTATGAGGACGACGAGGTGAGAAGGACGTTTAGCTCAGCGCAGTTGCTTTTGTCTCACATACACGATCAACGCAGATTCTTCTCCTCCTCCCCGTTCCTCCTGCCTTTCGCCGTTAGCTGTGCAACTGTTCGTTATTTCTTTTTCTTCTTTGATTATTCTTATCCCTTTGAGTTGCCAAAATCGTGCGGATGTTGCTGGCTGGCAGGTGATGGCCTTCCGAGACATCAGTCCGCAGGCGCCAGTGCACATTATTCTCATTCCCAAGAACAGGGACGGCCTCACACAACTCTGCAAGGTAAGAGCGATCCCACAAGCCTCCCTCTCCGTTATCATCACCATGCCCGTCATTCTATGCTTTCTTCTGGTTTGTCTAGTCTAGTAAATTGTGGATTGTTTTCGCCTCTATCTATCTTTCTTGTTTGTATTCTCCCTCAGGGTCCGTCACTCTCTGGTATCTTTCTTTTGCAACTTCCATGTGCTTTCGTTTTCCTAATCTCTGTTCCCAGCTCTCTCTGCCCCCCTCGGCGTTCCACAGGCAGAGGAGAGGCATGCAGCAATCCTGGGTAAGCTGCTGTTGGCAGCGCGGAAGGTAGCAATCAACGAGGGCCTGGTGCCAAACGGTTATCGCATTGTCATCAATGACGGGCCCGATGGATGTGAGTTTGGGGAGCATTGTGAAATGAAGATAGGAGGGTGACAGGTTCACGGACGCAGGACTGGGCACGATATGGGATGGTGGGGGGAAGGGATTGAAATATGAACGTCTTGGTGCCTTGACTTTCCTACCCACATTTGGACCTAATTCCTTTTTCCTGGTTGGTTTGTGTGGTTTTACCCTGAGCAGGCCAGTCCGTGTACCATCTCCATATCCATATCCTCGGTGGCCGCCAGATGAAGTGGCCTCCTGGCTAATGGCTAATGTAGAGGAGGCGTTCTATATTATACGAAAATGTAAACGTATGTTCTGCAGCATATATGGTATGCTTGCTAAAGTGGGCATTGTAGACCGAATCTGTACTGATGTTCGTATGAACATCCATGTATGCATCTTTGCATTTTCCTGTTTTCTCTTTAGCACTTCCAAACCAATAAAGCGAATCCTTGCACGTCGTTTTGGCGCCTCGATGTTTGCGAGAACACAGAGGCCAGAGAAGCGGGAATGTGAAATGTTGTTTCACCACCATCCCCATATCCTAGAGACCATCGCATTCTGGTAAACCTAGGAATCGTTTTCTCCCCTCCTAGCGGCTCCACGTCAACACAGGTTTTGTTATCAAGCGAGCCGCGAGAGGATTCCAGCTATGCTCCTCGAGACTACCCTCCTGCTTTTGAATTTCGAGTTTCAAATGACGACTCGCCACCATCGTAGGCGGGCATCCCTCGCATCCCTCGTTCCCCGTGACGCGGTGAAGCCAGTGAAGCTCTGCACAGGACCACCTTTCGAAGAACCCCAGAAGCTGGTAGATAGCATCAGTCCCGCCTCATTTTCTCGTGTTGGCCTGTCTTGCTTCGCGAAGCAAGAAGCACCACTAGCAAGGGACGCGTTGAGCGAGAAGTGGATTTTCGCAATTGATTTCGCTGCTGGTTTTGCGGCTCGACGACATGGAAACGACTCCGTTGCGACGCAGTGGCCGAGCGAGCCTTTTCCGAAAGTCACTGAAAGAGTACGTTGGTCCTTGTCCCCTTCTTTTCAGGCTTCGTTAACTCCTCCCTTCGATGCTGGTTTAGGCTCACACCCGCACGTTCCTTTAACTCGGCTGATTGTCTGTTCGGCTTCCAGGGTGGAAAACGAAGACGATCAAGAATGGCAACCGCCTAGCGATGCGGAACCCGACGCTGCTCCCGCTGGCGACGTGAGCGACGGTGACGAAATAATCGCGAAGGCTTCGCGAACCAAGAAGACTTCTAATAAGGCTCCGAAAACGACCGTGGCTTCGGAGAAGAAGACCCCCGCGAGCCGCGGGCAGAAGAAGAGCAAGAAACGACCTTCGCCAAGTGCTTCGCGAAAGACTGCTTCTGCAGCGGCCGCAGCCGCTGGAACCTCTGACGCGAATGCGGTAAACCATCCTTGCTGTGAACTGGCTCGTCGTTGTTATCTTTTGACTGAGCTGCGTTCTTCCAGTTCGTGTTCTGCTCAGACACATGACGGATCCTCAGTTCAATCTTAACGGTTCCTGTCCAATCCGGTATCAATTTGACTGTCCGCGTTTGTGGATTTCAGGATAACGAAGTGGGGGAGGATCCGATGATCAACGAGGAAGGGGGAATCAGCAACGTGACGCGCTATGCTTCGTCCTTGCACTGTAAGGATCACAATTATTTCCTTCCTTTATTGCACTGCTTCGGTTCTTGATGCTACAGCTATGTCATTATAATCAACCTAGTTTTACCTTTTGTCCCTTGATATTTCTTGTTTATTGCAGTGACAGCACAGAACAAACGAGCCAAGGATGTGGAGAAAGCGGCCAAGAGGTGGACGAGGCAGTATGAGAAAGAGCCTATGACTGCCCTGTCGGCCCTGCTAATCTTCCACTTCCAGGTGCGTCTTAAAACCCCAAGACGTCTGCTGCTTCTTTCCGTTCGTTTGATTCTTCGACGGGCCTGGTGTTAGCTTGCCATTCAGCACGTGCATCACCGTGTTGTGGTTTGCTGTTGCAGGCTTGCGGGTGGAGAGGATCTGAGGACATCTCAAGCCATGTTGGCGATGGTGACGTGGACACTGTCGTGCGTTTCCTTGTGGATCAGGCCAAGGAGGTACACCAACGTACTTTCCAATTCCAGAAAACAATGTTCTTCCATATATCGGCTTTTATACAATCATTACACCATTTGACTGTGTTATAACATGGTCGCATCGTTGCTTTGTTGTGGAGAGGCTTACATTGTAGATGTTTTCTGGCGATATGCAGGGCGAGGTGGAGGACACGCTGGGCTCTGCCTGGCCGCATGCCAAGAGCGTCCGTTCCTACAAGGCAAATCTGGAAACTTTCTGGCACAGCCTTATGATAGAAGCTCAAGATGGGCCGCTGTTTGATGGAATACTCATGGAGAAGTGTATCAATCACATCACCCTGCTGGCATGGTAAGACGGAGCTCTTGCTGCCAGATCTTGGTACCCTTTTGGTATCTTTGAGAAAAGGAAATACTTTAAAGCTTTTCGCCTGAAGCCTCCAGATTTTGCTGGCGCAACCAAGCTCACATGATTCTTCCTTGTGTTGCTTCTTGCAGCAAGGCTCCTCGAATGTTCCGGATCATTTCCACCCTTGTGGGCCTTCGCATGGTTACAACTCTGGTAGAAATCGCCAGCACCATGGGTGAAGCACGAGCAACCACGCAGAGGCAGATCAACGCAGAAGCTATGCGGAGCGGCAGCAAGGAAGAGAGCCCGCGTATGGCTCTGCTCAGGAGCACATTGGAGAATCTGCATACCAAGATTGTGGGGGTGGAGGAGATGATGACCCAGCTCTTTTCAGGGTAAAAGCACCAGCACACGCACACCCTCCCATAAATCTCGTACTCCAGAACCCTGTACAAGTTGTGTGCCATCTCTGGACTGTGTACGACTGTAACTGATGTGTACACCTCGTTTCTGTTTCAGGTTCTTTACTCACCGCTTCCGGGATGTGATGCCTGAGATCCGCGGTGCCTGCGTGGCATCCCTGGGCTCCTGGATATCCGGCTACCCCAGCGTCTTCTTAGAAGATCGCTACCTTAAGTACCTGGGCTGGGCTCTCAGTGACCAGGTGGGTGGGCTCGCCTCGCCAACGTCCAGACCGTTTAGAAGCAATTATAAGATCGTCAGCCACCCCTGCGTTTGTTTGTTGAGAAGACCGTTAACTCGATTACCTTGTAAAGCTCTCCATCTCTTCACTTCATGCGTTCTTTTGCGTTTGCTGCTACTTCGGCGCATTGGCAGGAGTCGGTTGTGAGGCAGAGCAGTCTGCAGGCGCTCAAGGCTTTGTACGAGGACGAGGACTGCATTGGCGCGCTCAGCCTCTTTTCCGAGCGCTTCTCCCCGCGCATCATCCAGATGGCGGATGACGTGGACGCCAGCGTGGCAGTGACCTCCATTCAGGTTGCAGGGCTCCTGCTGAGGTCAGTGCCGGATCATTATATGTTGCCAAATTACAAAATTATTACGCCCACCTGCTTCCGATCTTCATACCATGTTGGGTCTTTCCAAACATATGTTGTAACCTGCTCCCAGCGTTCATTTTTGCATTTACTTTCTTGTCTCTCTTTTCTTTTCAATGCACACAGGCATCAGCTGATACCCTTGGACGAGGTGCGGCCGGTGCTGGAACTAATCACAGACGATCTGAGGGCAGTGCGCCTGGTGGTAGCGGATCTCACAGCGGACTACTATCTTCCTGCCAAAGTGGCGGAAGCCGCTCAAACCTCCAAGGGTCAGTCAGTCAGTCGGTCAGTCAATGTGCCTGTAGCTGTCGTTGGTTTGTCTGGTGGTAGCGGATCTCATAGCGGACTACTACCTCCCTGCTAAAGTGGCGGAAGCTGCTCAAACCTCCAAGGGTCAGTCAGCATGCCCCTACCTCTCAGTGGCTTGTCAAATCACTGAACCGATTTGCTAGGTTTCCTTTTGCATGTTACTCGCACTCTTCCATCCACCTTTCCTGCTGCAACTCCCATCCCCTATCTTTTCTGCCAAGTGGATTTCACACCTCTTCCTTGCCTCTTCCACGCCGTGTTTACACCTCTTCCGTGCATTGGCTACAGATGATGCAGGGGCGAAGGGAAAGCAAGACGGGCAGCTGCAGCCGCTGCTGGATCTGGTGGGGGAGCTCACCAGCAGTGACGCACACATGGAGATGCTCGTGGACGCCCTGTGGGACAAGTGCAGAGTGCTGCAGGTGAGCCCTCGTTCTACCATCAACCAGTCAGTCAGCAAGGCTGCTCGCCATGAGACCAGGGAGACATGGCAGCGACATTGTTGTGAATTGGTTCTTTGATGTCAACAGGAGCTGATGTCTTATGGTGTGTTATTGCATTGCAGGACTGGAAGCTCATGGCCAAGTCTCTCCTCGCCGACCAGGCAGGGGCACACGGGAAGGGCAAGAGGAGGGAGGTGAACGGAGAGTCACTCTCCCTCTGCCGCCTGCTCCTTGCGTGTGCTGAGCGCGGCACTGCTGCTGGGATCCAACCTAACCGTGGAGATGCTTTTGGCCCCGGGAGGTTTCCTGGGAATGTGAAAGCCGCGTTTGGGTCGCCCAGTTCAGCCCACAAGACTCCTTCGAAGAAGCAGCAGGTATCATTTTTTTCTTACTTCGGCCTTGTGTCTGTATGTATTTATGTCCTCATCTCTTTCCGCTCCCTGTTTTTTATGTTCTTTTCAAGCCCTGCCAATTCTCTTTACGGCTGATTTGGATCTGTTCCTTGTTCCCTGCGTTCTGCTCCTCTGTTGTGTTTGTGAGCGCAGGAGGGAGCAGCAGTGGTGCAGGGCGAGATGACAGGTGCACTCATGAAGCACCTTCCCGGCATCATCACTCGTTTCCTGTCCGACGCGGACCATCTGCACATCGTGCTCTCCATCGCACCCCTTCTGCAATTCGACCTCTTCGCCACGCGCCACCAGGAAGCTGTGAGTCATGTTTGCTCTGGAACAACCTTGCTTTCCCGTTTGCCCGTTCCTTCCCATGTGCCAGGCGTTTGTTGCCGTTGCCTCCTCCTCAGGCGTGTCTTTTAACTTTAGCTGCTCCATTTCGCAGCTCTGGTTGCTCCCAGCTCATCCCTGCTTCTTACCTTCCGTTCATGCTAACTTAACTCCATCATTTTAACTTCCCTATCTCCGCCTCACTTCTGTTGAACTCCCTACACCGCCTTCCTGCCGTTGCACCCCTCAACCCCCCCATCCACGTCAGAGCTTCACGAGCCTTATGGCAGCTCTACACGACGCCTTCCTGCGCCACACAGCCACGCCCATTCTCGACGCGGCCATTGCTGCGGCCGCAGCAGCAGTGGAAACGGCACCTGCAGAGCTCAAGGAGGAGGCTCAGCGTTTGATGGAGGACCTGGCGACTGTGGTGCTGCAGCAGCTGGATGAAGCTGTGAAGACTTTTGAAGAGGTGAGTTCTAGGCTGTGACATTCGCTGGTAGCTGCTAATTCTGCGCAGTTCGGGTTCACAATAGCTGGTACTTACCTGAGATGCTGCATAGTTGACCTGTAAAGCTATTCAGAGCTGGAGTTTCTCCGCTGAGAGTTTTTCTTATTTCTCCCACCTTCCTCTTTCTGCCTTCACAGGACGACGACAGCAGTGTGGGCGTGGATGGTGACTTTGACCGCTTGCTGGCCTCGCTGTCCCGTCTGCAAGCGCTGCAGCTGGCAGGGCAGCGCATGCCAGCAAGCATCACAGACACCCTGCAGAAGATTATCTCCAACCCTCTTATGGTGTCCTCGGATGAGGTCAGTATCTGAGAATGCCAAGATTTGGTGAGATTGGCTGTCTGCAGAAGTTCTCGAGTTCGTCCGGTTCGCCTGAACAAGACTGTTCCTTAGAACGTCTCTGCAAAGTTCACTGCCCGTATTTTCCAATCAAGCCTCTGGATGCCAGCAGGTCTGATTGCCGAAGTTCACTGCCTGTTTTCTTATATGCTGCTTCTCGTATGCCGCTTCCCCCCTTTTCCAGGTACAAGCAGAGGCGCTCACGTGCTGCTTTCTCGACGTGGTTGCAAGCTACGGGGACATCACGGCTGAAGGCGTGAGCGAGAAAGGCACAGCTGATACCACAGCAGACATCACTCGAGTGGATGTGCGCCTGCGCTTCCTGCTCCTGCACCTGGAAACATCCATCAAGAGCATCTCCTCATCGTCCTCGCACCAGCTGCCCACGGCAGCTCGCACCTTCAATAACAGGCGTGCTTCTGGGCCGAGTGGGACCAAGGGGGCATCGAACACAGGCACCAAATCCATGGTAAGTCTGGATGTTCTTGTATGCATGCCCCCCACTTGAATGCCTGGGCCTTCTTTGCTGCACAGCTAACCACCAGCCACCACACCCATCTCTGCTCCTGGCCCCACAGAGGGTTACCACATTACCACCCTTCTCGTTCATCGCCATGGTACCACCCATGCTTCCTCAACCACGACTTTTCCTCGCTTTTTGTTGATTGTGCCTCTTTCACGTCTGCAGCTGGTGCACCTGTGCTCAGACGTGTGGTCTGTATTCTCCCCATCCAAGCTTGACGGCACGCCCATGCAAGCCCTTGGGTTGACCCAAAAAATCACTTCTCCTCTTTGCTGTCTGTTCTTTGTTCCCCTTCCACGCCTGCAGCTGGTGCACCTGTGCTCAGACGTGTGGTCCGTATTCTCCCCATCCAAGCTGAACGGCACGCCCATGCAAGCCCTGGCGTCTGCGCCTTCTGCTTCCACTGTGGAGGCCTTCTGGCACGCATGCCTTGGCATTATTCACACCTGCTGTAAGTAACTGTACAAGTAACTGTCTGTTATCTCTCAAGTGCCTCTCAACCGGACTGAATGAATGTTCCAGGCCAGGGTCCATTCACACCAAGTCCGACTGTCCAGTGTTCTTGCCCCGCGGGATGCATTATGGAGAAGAGCTTTACAACGGTCTGAACCTTTCTCTCTTCTTTCTTCTGTGGCTGTTGCAGCGAACGGCCATGGGGAGCAGCTTTCAAATGGGGACGTGGCAGTGATTGCAGCAGCTAAGCTCATAGCAGGAGGCCTTCTACCACCGGTGAGTCTTCTTGCACCTAGTTTCACAAGTCTACGTCCACGAAATTTCAAGATAGTAGTACCAGCGCCTTGAGCATTGGCGCAAAGACTTTGCTAACCCGTCTCCCTGGCTTTTGTTAACCTGTGTTTTTGCTCCACCCTTTTGCCCCACTTCCATGTCCCTCTGCCCCTTTCTCCAGTCGTATCTCGCCCCGCAGCTGCTGGCTCTGCTGGTGGGGCATGGGTGGGCGGCAGCAGCAGTGGTGAAGCACATGGCGGAGCGCATGAGGAACAACAGCAGCGGCAGCAGTGTGACGGACGAACAGATGTGGAAGCTGTGCTATGACGCAACACGCCTGGTATGTAACTGCGTAACCCAGCCACATGGCTTGGACTACACATTTTTACAGCCACGCTAATGGCAGTATCCCATTCCTGAAAATGCCCTTGCTTGTTTGTTTGACCACACCAGCTTCCCTCATCTGGCCTGTTTCTTGCGAGCTTGACATACGGTCCCCATCTCTCCCTGGTCCTGCAGGCATACGAGCGGCACCTGAGGGAGATCGGAGACGATGAGGACGACGAGGCAGACATGGAGTCCTACCTCATCTGCAAGGACCTCACTCCGCAGCTGCTGCAGCTCTGCGGTGGTCCAGCAGCAGTGCGCGGGGCAGCAGGCAGTGGCAGCAGGCTGAGCGATGCGGTGCAGGCGGTGCTATCTGCGGTGGTGAGGGATGGAGCTGGGTTCGTGCTGGAGGACCCGAGGAGGAGGATGCTGTTTGTGGATGTTGCTGTGCTCGGGTTTGCGAGGAACCTCAAGCCAGCTGCTGCTGCTCCCATGTAAGTGCCCCACACACCTCTGCCTCTTAAAGTTTGTGTCAGTCTGCAAGCGTGAGTAATCCTTCCAGCAGTCTGCATCCCCCCCTTCAGTCCTTTCCTGCTCCCCTTCACCCCGCCCTCTCTCTGAACCTGTTTTTTCTACCCCGGCGACTCTTTCTGAAGCCCAGATTATTTGCCTTTTGTCCACACTCATACTCCCCTGCTACTTTACTTGTCCAACCCATATGAGCAGCCTTGCGGAGCTTAAAACGCGTACAGCTGATCTAGACATGGAGGACGAGCCTCAGCTCTGGCGCCCTCTGCTCACCCTGCTAGACTGCCTGGAGGGCAAGGCTGGTAACCACACTGGTAACCACACGGGGGCCGGTGGGCAGGCCAATGGAGCCGCAAGGAACGGGCAGGGAGGAGGAGAGGATGGGGAGGGCGCAGGGGAGGAGGAGGATGACGTCATGCCGACTATGACACCGCCCAGAGTGAATCAGCGCGTGGCCAAGTGTAAGTTACTACTTGTCATTACCCTGTGTCCCTAGTTTTGAAACGTCTCTGTTTCAAAGTATCTCAGAGTTTATAACTTTCCGATTCTGGTCAGTAGAAGGCATTTTCCAGATTCCTTGTTCTCAAATCGTCTAATTAATCCCTCTCCTTAATATCTTTCTTTCTTTCTTTTCCTCAGGTCACAAGAAGAAGCCCGCGCACAAGACCATGCGGCGCCGGCCCCAGGGAGCAGAAGCTGAGGCAGGGACGTCTGACGAAGATGATGCAGGGAACACGTCGGGAGGAGGAAGAACAACGCGCAGAGAGGAAGGGAGGGATTATGGCAGCAGGGAGCCGCGCGGAGGCAGAATCGGTGCAAGGTACAAGGATGCTGGTGGCAACCCTTCACATGCCCCTGAACCAGCTGCGCCTACTGCTGCTGTGTCGGATGCTGCTGCTGATGGTGATGCTGAGGATGGTAAAGGTGGTGACAATACACGTGGACTGGATTCTGCTGGGGCAGCGGCGGCAACAGCAGCAAGTGGCAGGGGGCTAGCGTCAGCGGTGACGTATTCACGGAAGAGGAAACTGGCAGCGAGCAGACAGAGGGAGGATGAGGAAGACAAGAGGAGTGAGGGAGAGAAGGTGGAGGCGGGGGAGAAGAGGGATGAGAGAGAGGATGAGAGAGAGAAGGGGGATGAGGGAGAGAAGGTCGGTGATGGAGAGAAGGGGTTAGGAGGGGACAAGGAGGCCGAGGTAGACAAAGCGGATGGAGCAGAGAAGGAGGATGACGGAGGGGCGTGGGACATTTTCAAAGATGATGATGAGGATGAAGAGGAGAGGCGGAGCGCAGAAGAGCCTGTGGTTGGGACGCAAGGAAGGAAGGAGGCTGCTGGGGAGGCTATTGCTGAGAGTGCTCCTTTTGATGCTATGGATACCGCTGAATCTGATGAGGAAGAGATTAAGGTGTCAGGGTCGGGCAAGGGTGCTGCGAGTGCAGATGAGACTGGTGGGAGCAGCGAGGGGAGTAGAGGAAGTGGGAGCGATGGGGATGAGTGGGAAGAGGTTGATATGCGTGAGATGGAGACGAGGAGGCATAGTGATGCTGCTAAGAAGGCGGAACTAGAGCTGCAGGAGAAGAGAGAGGCTGAGAGGGAGAAGGAAAGGCAGAAGGAGAGGGAGAAGGAGAGGAAACGGAAGGAGGAGAGGGAAAGGGAGATGGAGATGGAAAGGCAAGTAAGGGAGGAGAGAGAGAGGGTACGGAAGGAGGAGAGGGAGAAGGTTCGGAAGGAGAAAGAGAGGTTGAGGGAGCAAGAACAAAAGGAGGAGAGGGAGAGGGAACAGAAGGAAATGGAGGAGAGGGCAAGGGAACGGAAGGAGAAGGAGGAGAGGGAGAGGGAGAGGCAACGGAAGGAAAGGGAGGAGAGGGAGAGGGAACGGAAGGAGAAGGAGAAGGAGAGGGAAAGGGAACGGATGGAGAGGGAGAAGGAGAAGGAAAGGGAGAGGGAGCGGAAGGTGAAAGAAAGGGAGAGAGAACTGCAGCAGAGGAAGATGGAGAGGGAGAGGAAACAAACGGAGGAAAGGAAGCGGGAGAGGGAGAGAGAACAGCTGGAGGAGAGGACGAGGAAGAGAGAACAAGCCGCGGCAAGGGAGAGGGAGATTGAGCAGGAGCAGCAGAAGCAGCAGCAAGGGGATGCAGAGGTGGAGCCAGTACCAGTGAGGGTGGCCTATGAGCGTAAGAGGAAGCGAGCTCAGGATGTAAACCAGGAGAGAGATGAGGAGGTGCAGGCTGGTCAGCAGCAGAAGCAGGCTGTGACGACATACACACGTGCGAGGAGGCAGGGGGGTGCTGGCGTGGATACAAAGGCTTCTGACGTGGACAAGAGTGGTGCAGGGAGGGAGAATGTGAGGGAATCTGGAGTGAGGGATGCGAGAGAGGAGCAGAAGGAGGAGGTGGTTACGACTGTGGCGAATACCATGCTGCTGGATCTGAGTGATGAGGAGTGCTCTCTGTCGCCTTTGGAGCTGGGTGGAAGGGAGAGTCAGGAGAGGGGTGAGGTTGCTGTGTCTGCTGCGCGCTGGGGTAAGGATGTGAGGGGAGAGGTGGTTCAGGAACAAGGTGCTGGTGATAGGAGCGCTAGTGTGAGACCTGCTGCTGCTGCTGCTGCTGCTGGTGCTGCTGGTGCTGCTGGTGGTGGTGCTGCTGCTGCTGCTGCTGCTGGTGCTGGCATAAGGGGGAAGGTGATGGAGAAGGAATCGGCAAGTGAGGAGGAAGAGGAGGGGGATGAGGAAGATGAGGAAGAGGAGGAGGAGGAGGAGGAGGAGGAGGAGGAGGAGGAGGAGGGAGGAGGAGGAGGAGGAGGAGGAGGAGGAGGAGGAGGAGGAGAGGAGGAGGAGGAGGAGGAGGAGGAGGAGGAGGAGGAGGAAGCGGAAGGTGAAGAGGAGGAATCGACAGAAGGTGACAGCACTGAGGGTGAGGAGGAGGAGGAAGAAGAAGAGGAGAATGTGCAAGAGGTTGCTGTGAAGGTTCCAGAAGCAAGAGCTGCAGGGAGGGTGGTTGCAGAAGGTAGAACCAAGGCACAGGGCGAAGTGGGGAGCAAGGCACAGAACGTACAAGCTGCTGCTGCTGCTGCTGCTGCTGCTGCTGCTGCTCAGGTGCAGCGACAGAGAGGAGGGGAAGACCCTGCTGCTGGTAAAGGCGCATCTGGTAATGTGTTAGAGAGAGCTGTTGCAGCTCGGCACGAGAGGAGCATGGTGATGGAAGTTGAGGATGTGGAGGAGGATGAGGAGGAGGAAGAGGAGAGGAGGAAAGAAGAAGAGGAGGAGGAGGAAGAGGAAGAGGAGGAAGAGGAGGAGGAGGAGGAGGAGGAGGAGGAGGAGAGCGATGAAGGGATGGAGCAGGAGGGGAGGAGGGCGCAGGGAGGAGATGTGCAGAGCAGGAGCAGGCAGGTAGAGCAGGGCATGCGGCCCCCTAGGTCCGTTGAAGCAGCATCAGCAGAGGGAGCAGCAGCAGCGGTGGCAGCAGCAGCAGCAGGTAGAGGAGGATCAGTGGCAGGAAAGGCAGCCCAAGTTGGGAATGCGGCTGTTGGTGCTGCTACAGCCAGGGTTCCAGGGGTGGTGAATGGTGGGGTGGCTGGTGGTCTTGGTGCGAGGGGAGCGGGTGCAAAGGGGCAGATGGAGATAAGTATAGAGGACGGGAGTGGAGAGGAGGAAGACGAGGAGGAGGATGGGGACGAGGAGGAGGAGGACGAGGGAGATGAGGAGGGGAGTGAGGAGGAAGAGGATGAAGAAGGAGATGAGGAGGAGGGGAGTGAGGGGGAGTGGGAGGAGACGAGTGTGGATGGTTCTGGATCTCTTCGGGCATCTGCAGGGAGTCAGGCCAAGGTCAGTGCTGTGGCAAAGGCAGGCAGGCAGGGAGAGGTTCCTGTGCAACGAAGAGAGGCTACTGCTGCTGATATGGCTGCTCGCATGCGCCAGCAGCAGCAGCAGCAGCAGCAGCAAAAGTTGCGGTTGAGTCAGCAGCAGGAGGAAATGCGGCTGAGTCAGCAGGAGGTGCGACTGAGTCAGCAGCAGGCGATGAGGCTGAGTCAGCAGGAGAATGTGCGGCTGAGTCAGCAGGAGATGCGATTGAGTCAACAGCAGGGAATGCGGCTGAGTCAACAGGAGGAGATGGGGCTGGGTCAGCAGGAAAGACGAATGAAGAAGCAGCATGACATCCGGCTGAGTCAGCAGGAAGTGAGGCTGAGTCAGCAACAGCAAGAGATGCGGCTGAGTCAGCAGCAGAACGAGATGTGGTTGAGTCAGCAGGAACTGCGACTAAGTCAGCAGCAGCAGGAGGTTCAGCTGAGTCAGCAGGAGCTGCGACTGAGTCAGCAGCAGCAGCGCGAGCAGCAGATGCGCGAAAGGATAAGGCAACGGCAGCTGCAGCTGCAGCAACAGCAACAACAGCAACAGCAGCAGCAGCAGCAGCAGCTTCAAGCGCGGATGAGGCAGCAGCGTGAGGTGGAGCTTCGTCAGAAGCAGGCTCAGGACCAGAAGCAGAGAGGCGAGGGAACTAAGAACATGCAAGATGTTGTAGAACTGTCAGATGACAACGAGGAGGACGATGAGGAGGAGGATGGGGATGAGGAGGAAGGAAGCGAGGAGGAGGAGGGAGGGGAGGAGGAGGGAGGGGAGGAGGAAGATGGGGAGGACGAGGAGGAAGGCGAGAGCGAGGATGGGGACGAGGAAGACGAGGAGGAGGAAGATGATGATGACAATGAGGATGAGGATGAGGTAAGATCGTAGTTTGTGGTAGCTTCATTCTTGAGTTCTCAACGTTCAAGCATTGCTCAGCTTTGTCAACACGTCCTGAATTGCAAGTATCGTATTACGTGGTGTTGCTGCTTGCATTGTGCGTGGCCGTTGTTGCAGGTAACCTCCCCGAATTGAGACAACGGACGAAGTGTATGAAACATGAACCATCAGGGACTACCCATGTTTCTGCCAGACTCAGTTTCAGCATTTGTTTTTCTGCCTTCCTGATTTTTCAGAACTTCATCTAGTGGTTCCATTTTAATGCGTCTGATACGGTGGTTTTTGTAATGACTTCTCATTGAACGTGAAATAGGCGAAACTTTTTTATTCAATACCTCCAATGCTGCCGGTAGGATTATTAAACATTGCCCATCAAACTACCGTATCTAGCAGAAAAGGCTTACAAGGTTACATCGCAAGTTCGTTCCATACACACACTTTAGCGGTCAACATGGAGCAGCGCAATAACGGGAACGATTCACGACCCAGATCCCTATCTGGTCGAAACCTGTGTGGTTGCGTTTGAAAACGCTCGGTTGGGTACGGTGCTACTCGTTCAGTTACGGCGAACTCTGCATTTGACACACAGATCAGCAGCAGTTTGTCTGAATGGTTGCCGCTTCTGGTTTCAACTTTCAAGTGTGCATTCTAGAATCTAGGTTCGACGTAGGTGTATCCTAGGTTCTGTCGTCGCACCTCGCGATTCTAAGCTTCGGCCCAGCCCGACCGCTCTAGCTCGGGCGCATCGCAGGCTCGCGCGTAGCGTTTCACCAAGACAATCCGCATTTCTCGCCGCGCGACGCGGATTGGCTCAGACGGGCGTTTCATCTCAGCCGCTTACGTTGTGATCGAACGGTCAGTCACTTCCTCCTAAGCCTAATCGAATCCCTTGATCCCGGTAACGATCCGCTGCCTCTCTTCATCCGCTCATCCTGTCCGTTCGTCCGCTCCCACCTGCTCCGGACCCGCCGTAGCCAAATCCTGTCGAACCGACGTCGTGTTGAAAAAGCTCGCTGCTTTGATATAAGTCGAATCGTAGAGTGCCAGAGTATAGCCTTTTCGCTGTTCGGGTGCTTTGGATGCTGGTGGTAACGATCAATTCACTCCGGAGCATCATACGAACCATTTCATTCTCTCCGTTTCCTGTTTGACCGTCTGTCCGTTCGTTCGTTTGTCCGTTCGTCCGTTTGTCCCTGTGATTGATTATCCCGTCCGTTCAGCGTATCAGGCGATGGCGTCGCCGCAGCTGCAGCCGCGGGCGCCTGTCGCCGGGGGAATGGCGGATTCGAGCCGGCCCGCAGCCGTGAACCAGGGATACAGCCTCGCGTCTTCCTGGGAACACGTAGGTCCATGTAGCAGCATCGTAAGGCCTCTGGGAAAACGGACAGCTCGTAAACAGTTCAGAGTCATGATCAAGTTTAAGGGAGTAGGAAGGAGCTGAAGAGCACGGAGTGGATGCTTATAATGGAAGCGAATACAGCCAATGGCTTTTCCATGTGGCCTTCCAGTTGACTCAGAAATCGCTTCGATATGGTGCCTGACTCGTTTTCATCATCCTACCTTCTATAACCCTTCCTGCCACTCCCACTCCTCACGTAACTCGCAACCGTTCAATTTCTCCCCACTTTCCTCTCTCCAATCTCCCAACTTTCTTCCCCTTGGATCACGGCTCAGAACGCACCACTGTCAGAGCGACAGCTGGCGACAATCGCGATGCTCGCGAATGTGGCTGGTAACCGCTCTCTGCCACCCCACCTGGTGCGTCTCGTGTCCGGCCCTGCACGTTCCATCGTCTACGCTCCCTGTGTCTCACCCTTGACACCACGCTGGTCCTTCACACTGCACATGCCTTGCCCCACACCACCCCAATGCAACCATCATCTTGCCTGCCTGCCTGCCCGCCCGTCCCTCTTCTCCCTCCCGCACAACTTCTCTCTGCTGTCTGTCACTGCTGCTGGATTTGACGCGTCTTACAACTCTCCTTTCCCCTCCTTGCCCCTCCGCCACTCTTGTTCTCCCGCTTCTTCCTCCCCCCCCCCTCCCTTCTTTCCCCCCTTCCACCCGCCCAACTTTCCTCCACTTTACACTGCTCTCGGAATCAGGAAGGGATGGAAGGAGGGGCGAGAGGAGAGCGCAGCGACAGCAGCAGGCGCAGTGGTGGGAGAAGGAGGAGCAGACGACGGGGAGGAGGGCGAGGAAGAGAGCGATATGCTGCTGCTAGTCAACAGCCACCAGGTAACCCTCTCTCCTCGCCTTGTGCTAGTCTTGTTCTTGAGTCTGCTTAGAAAGATAACCAATGGACAGGTAACAGAGGGGAAGGTGAGAAGAGAGCTATATGCTGTTGCTAGTCAACAGCCACCAGATAACCCCCCTCGCCTTGTGCTCGCTGGTGCACGTAACGTAAGTTGACTCTAAGTATTCATATGGAAGGAAGAGAATGATGTGTTCCTGCTAGTAAACCTACCTTGGGTCCTCGCTCCTGCCCCTCTTGTGCGTCTGTCACTTGGAAAATTGTTATCCCCACGCCCCTTTCTCCCTCTTCCTCCTGCTGCCGTTACTCGGCGTGCTCCCCACCTCCCTCCTTTGCCGTCCCTCTCCTCCTGCATCTCGACTTTTGAGAGTTTCCAAAACAGCTCCCCTTTTGCATCGATCTCCCTCCACTCCACGCCGCTTCCCCGTTTCAATTCTCGGACCCTCTCAGTATCCATCCCATGCCACCGCTTCAAAATCCACTCTATCCCGTTTCAGTCCATCCCACCCCTCATTAGCCCATCCTGCCGTATCGCCCCCCACCCACTATTGGCGTGTTGCCTCGTTCCCACAGTTTTACAAGTGGCATTCAGACCTTGAAACGGCTATGAAGTCAGAGGTGAGAGGGAGGAGAGGGAGAAGAGGAAGGGAATGATAGGGAGGAAGGGGATGAGGGGGTGTGGGCCTGATAGGGAGGAATGGGATGAGGGAGTGTGGGCCTGGTCAATACAGCTCAAACTTCTATATGTTATAGCTATCTTGGTGCCTGGTTTTCAATATAATTTGAATCACGTCTCTGCTTGTTTTTTCTCCTAACTCCTCTGGTGCCACGTTCACGTGATTCAACCCTAACACCCACCATCTCTTCCACTTCCTGTACGCTCTTCCATCCTGTATGCTCATCCCCCTCCTAACACTCACCATCTCTCCTGGTGCCATGTTCACGTGATTCAACCCTAACACTCACCATCTCCGCTGGTGCCGTGTTCACATAGCACCCGCCATCTCCTCCACTTCCTGTACGCTCTTCCATCCCTAGGACTACCCGGCCAACCTCCCCATCCGCATTCCCGCCCCACTTCCCGCCCCTCTTCCCGCCCCTTTTTCCGCCTCCCCTCTGCTTCTCCCCGCTGAACCCCATACTGCAGACAGAGGAGAAGTATCGGCAGTATGTGTCTGTACTGGAAACACATTTGCAGACTTGCGACCATATCCTCATGCAGGTGACTGGGGGATGAGGAAGGTGGGGAGGGGGGTGGAGGGCAGGGGAGGGGAGAGGGCTTTTGAGTTGACTCAATATGTGTCTGTACTGGAAACACATCTGCAGACGTGCGACCATATCCTCATGCAGGTGACTGGGGGGTGAGGAAGGTGGGGAGGGGGGTGGAGGGCAGGGGAGGGGAGAGGGCTTTTGAGTTGACTCAATATGTTTCTGTACTGGAAACACATCTGCAGACGTGCAACCATATTCTCATGCAGGTGATTGGATGGAGAGGAAGGGGGGGATGGGGGGAGGCTGGGGAAGTTGGGTCGAGGAGGGGAGGGGCTGGAGAGAGAAGAAAAGGAAGAGAGTGAGGGCATGGGTTTAAAACGATGCAGGCATGGAGTGCGACAGGATGGATGACTGATGGGAAAATGGGAGGAGTGGATTGTAAGAAGCTGAACTCGAGTTATCGGTGTAAAAGTGGAGCTTAAAAACTCCGCGACTGCAGAATTAAATTGGTTAAGTGACGGGAAGGAAAGTGGGGAGGAATAGAGGGAAGGAAAGGGAGGGAACGGAGAAAAAGTGCTGCAGGGTCAGCACTGGAGGCGTGCTGA